TACACGTCTCGCTGTACCATCCAAGAGCATGCCCAGGTACATACGTACACGTATCGACATTAGAAGAAAGCGATGAATTTGGGGCAGTGGCATTGTGAGGGTGTGCCTCAAACCTCTTGCCCCACTTCTCTCTTTCTCTTCCAGTCACACAAAGTGGTGGACCGACAGACTGCTAGCATCTCTTCCACTGCCACAGAACGAAGGTTAGTCACACTATTACGATCACCTCCCTTTCCTTTTTTCTCCCTCTCTTTTATCGTGTCACCCAAACCTAGGACAGGATTAAAATTTGGTATTAATAGTACATATGTACAGTACAATAATTTTGTCAAAGTGTAATGAGCAGGCAAGAGTGAAAAGATGTCAATAATATTCAGAGCATCTTAGCTCCCTCCTAGTCTTTAATTCATTTTCTCTCCCCACGCCCCAGTGGCGTGTTCACGGGGTGATTAGGGTGCTCGAGCTCCCCCTGGCCTCCGCTCTGCATATAATTATAACTGGCAGTGTGCGCTGCTGCGTTTATCAAAAGGTCCTATAGGCGGATCCTTATAGGCAACACACGGTGACCCCTTTTCTCTAACTCTCTCTCTAGTTGATGATGAAGATGACCCGGAGGCCCCATCGCCAAACCCCGCCCAACTGACAAACACTGTCAGTTTCGATGAGGTCTACAAGCCTTTCGAACTGACTGATTTTGACAGCCTGCTGGCCAAGAATATCGGACGGCCTATAGAGTAGGCAGAGAGAGAGAGAGAGAGAGAGAGAGAGAGATCAGTGATGTCTATAGTACGTATCTTCTGTTGTATAGGAATGATCCTCACGATGCAAGCCCATTCACAGTCAAGTCATCCAAAAACAGGAAATTGCCGTGAGTTATGTCATAAGACATCACAGTGGATGAGGTCGTAATGATGTCACTTTAATTGAAGAATTTCGTCTTCTCTCTATCCTCGTCTACAGTACTAAAACTGTTCGCATAGTGAGTGGGTGGAGCTCCGAAATCAAATGCTGACGCAGACTCTTCTTCCGGAGGGACATCGTCCGGAGAAGAAGAAGACGAAAACTCTGCCCCCTCGTTAGCAACACATTCCACGCATTCCAGACGGGCGTCACCGTTACCGAGCGGCCCAGTGAGCTCGATGCAGGCGTATGGTTTTGAGCTCCATGAACCGTCTGTTAGGGACAGTCTCCTGTACGAAAGGTTTGTACTAAGGCCTTGATGTTGAGAACCCCCGATCAATTGCTGTTGCAATGGCTCTATTTATAAAGATTATATAGTGCAGTTGTGTATAATATGCGTTATTTACGTAAAAACATTAATGGTAAAATTTCCTTTTTTAAGGTATGCTTTCTGCCTCATGTGATGCACTGTGCTTTAATGCCGTTGTTTTCCTTTTGTTTTGTGTTTGTAAAGGTATGCCAGGCTCCATAACATGATGTGCATGCCCAGTACGAGAGGGATGGACGTGGAGCTTTCTTCAGACGCCGTCAATGCAGAACTAGCTCAATGGTATTATGGAAATTTTGATGTGTTTGTGCTTGCGTAGATATTTGTGAAAGTGTGCGAGGTTGATTATAGCCCACTCCCTCTGCCTCCAGGGAGTCCACCTACGACTACAAGGAGGACAGTGTGTTCTGTATCGAGCTGCCAGAAGTATCGCCGCAAGACGAGAGGATTTACGAACGCTCCGTGGCCGTCATGACAATGGGACCACTGCCTCCACCACAGGCCTCCTTAGAACTCTACAATCAGTATGCCAAAATGGCTTGCAGATAACAGTACAGTTGTGTCTCGAGTCTCAGATGTGTCTTGAAATGTGCGCATGCGCATGTGTACTATCGTATCACGTGCACCTTCAATGAATCACGTGGGATATTTTTGCGCATGCTCGCGCGTATAGTAAAGTCTGAGCTGAGCGAGACACACCTTGCACAGCAGTCGTTGTGCTTCTGGCCCGGGGGCGCGAGTTGTCGTTTCTGCTGACATATATATATATCTTTGAGAGATGGCAGACTAACAGTGGAGAGAGCGGAGCATTGCTGGTGGAGGGAAAGAGCTCCAGAGCCGGCTCTCCGGCTCCCCCGATCAGTTTCCCGATGGCTAATCTGGGCCCGTCCGGACTCCCCAAGACGCCGCTACAGCAGGTAAAGTGGGCGGACGGAGGTGCAGTCGGAGAAATGAGTGCAGTCACGTTAGAACTCCTTCCCTCCTTTCTTCTCTGGTGTAGGCTGCTCGAGACGGTCGGGAGGATATCGTGCGGGCCCATCTCTCCCGCCTCCCTAAGTACAAGAAGGAGAAAGTTCTGAACGCCAAGGACGCAGTTGGATTTACTGCACTCCATTACGCTGCCAAGTTCAACAGGTTCAAGATCCTTCAGCTCCTGGTCATCTCTGGAGCCAGTGAGTCTTCGTAATGCATCCCTATAGAGTGGGGCTTGTTTGCTCTGGACCCAAAATAAACTTTATATATACCATGAGAAAATCTTTTCAACTCAGTTCATACATAAAGGACAGGACTTTGTGTTGTAGACGAACCTCTAGAGCCTGGCCTATGAAATAGTTTGTAATACAGGTGTCCACAGAATTATTCATGCTTTGAGTCGGTTCATGATTAAAGCAATGGAGGTAATTAGCTATTTTGTGGTAAGGCATTACCAAAGCATCACGCAACCAAACTCTCAGAAAATAGAATATTGTAGTGCGCGTTAAAAATAGATTATTGGTTCGATGTGTGAGCTACAATGTTTGTCACTCCTGGTAGATCCCGAAGTGAAAACGACGGACGAAATGCTCACTCCTCTCCACTTTGCCGCTCGCTACGTGCCCCGGATCCAGAACCGGGACGTGGAGGATCAAGAACGGAGCAACGAGGAGGCGGAGGTTACGACAGCCTCCACGAGTCGTCGCGCCGTCCAACTCCTCATCACCTACTGCCGAGTGGAGCCAAACGTCGGAGACTTATACGGAGTCACCCCTCTTCACATGGCATCCTCCCGCGGCAATCTCGCCGCACTCGAAGTGCTCATAAATGTGCCCGGTATCAAGCTGGACATCCCGGATAATAATCTGGACACCCCGCTTCACGAGGCGTGTCTGTCGGGCGACCCGGAGATCGTGGGAAAGCTACTAACCAAGATGAAGGCGGAGAGGGGATCTTGTTGTACCCGCAAAACGATGAAAAGCAGACAGCCGCTCCACATTGCCTGCAAGGAGGGATATCCGGATGTGGTCAAGCTTCTTCTACAGCACGGATTCGAAGAGAGGAGGGCCCTGGTATCAGCGGAGGATAACGAGTACAACACGCCGCTCCACCTTGCCTGCGAGGGAGGGAGCAAACAAGTGGTTCATCTGTTGCTGCTCAACAATGCCAATATCACTGCCGTCAAGAGTGAAGAGATTACCGGGCTGCACATCGCGGCTCGTCTGGGGTTTACCGATATCGCAAAGATCTTGGTCGAGGCGATGCGGGAAATCGTGGAGGCTAGTGACGCGTCGCAGCAGACAGCACTCCATCGCGCTGCCCAGCACAACCAGTGCGAAATGATCGACTTTCTTCTGGACAAGTGAGTCGGGAAAAGAGAAAGGAGTGAGAGGAGAGGGAGAGGTAGTGTGTGTGTGTTGGCAAGTAAGTGAAGGAGACTAGAAAGAGGCAGAGAGAGCTTCAGAGGGTTCCATTTATAGGTGCCGTGTGTTCGAATGAGTTGTTGGCTTTGCCCTGAGACACATCAGTGTTCACACACAACTACAGCAGTTTGTGTGGCATGTTAAGAACACATGAGTGTATAGCAGGAGTGCATGCGTAGTTTTGGGGACTACCTGTCACTATTGAGGCACGGCACAGAGGAAATGACATTTTTTTGGTTGATAGACAAAATACGTGATTCTGTGTTCATGTCATATAGAGTCCCAGTCACTACAAACAAGTTTCCCAAAAGATTAACAAGGCGCATGGCTACATACACAATGAGAGTCAGCAAGTGTAGTACATGGGTGACTGGGTGTGCGCACTGTCTCTCCCCTGAGCCAAGAATGCTTTTCTTCTCCCTCCCTCCCTCCCTCTCTGTTTGTATGTTAATGAAACAATGTATATACTTCATTACTTCATGAAAGTTATAGCTTGCCAATTAGGTCACAGGGTGTGCCGCAGTGTGTTTTCTTTCAAAACTCTCTTCTCTCCCCAACCCCACCCCCTCCTCTGTCACACACACACACACAAACACACAGAGGAGCTGACATAACAGCCCTTGACGAGGATTCCTACACCCCGCTCCTCACCGCCGCGGCCCATGGACAGGCGGGTGCGCTGAAGAAGCTATTGGACAGGGGCGCCCCCGTTGACGATCTGGACAAAGACGGCAAGTCGGTGGTGTTTGTGGCAGCAGAGGAGGACCACACAGATGTTCTCCAGGTTAGCAGAGAACCTCTCTAATCCAGGCAGTAACTGGGCAGAAGAAAGCCTCCGTGTTATTAGTGAGGTTCAGGGGTTAAACAAACACAGTTCTTGGGAAAGAAAAGGTGTCCTTACTAGAGAAGTGTCCTCATTTCAGGCATTCCATAAGCCCATAAGAATTTATATGTGGCTATAATACTAGGCGTTAATAGGTTGTATATACATACATCAATTTCTGCTTATTTAAGGAGATACCCATGGCGTCCAGAGAATCCTTAGTATCTTAAACATGTTGTTTTACTACCTTTGCTATACATAAAGGTGCTGCTGTCCAACCCGATTGGCTTGAAACTATGTCGAACTGTGGACTCCATCCATAATACCCCCCTACACATCGCCGCTCAGGTGAGCATCATGTAATAGTCACGTGACCACTTCCCAGTGTCACATGACATCATGTGATCCAGTCATGTGACCCATAATGTTGTATAGATGGGAAACCTTGAGAGTGTGAGGATGCTGCTGCGAGCCAGTGTGAGGATCGATGCTAGGAACGAACTGAGCAAGACACCCATGCACCTTGCTGCCGAAAACGGACATGTCCAGTTAGTTTCCTCTCTTCTACTGCCTCCTTCTCTCTCTCTTGTACCTGTATAACTTTCGCGAAATCACGAAAAGTTAATTTTTGCTGTGCTGACCCCACAATTTTTTCTGTTAACCCCTTCCTGCCTCCCCTTTCTCCTTCTTCCCTTGTTCCCATTTTCCATCAAACTTTCTAAACTTTCTCTCTTCTTCCCCATACCCTCCATCCTCCAGAGTGGTGAGAGAGTTAATCCGCTACCAACACGACACAATCTACGATGAAGACGAAGATGCAAACTCTCCCCTCCATCTCGCCTGTATCAACGGTCATTTGGGCGTGGTCAAAGTCCTCATTGCTTCCAACTGCGATGTCGAATCGAGGTTTGTGTGTTTATTTTTCTTTTCCCTCGTTAAAATTTTTCGTACTACACGCAGTGTCACGGTCTATGTCAAAATTTCAATTTGATGCTTACTTACCCAAAATGAATTTTTGGGCCTACTACCGTTTTTTTTCATCAATATCTTTTGTTTCACTGAATACAACTGTATAAATGCGTGATTTTTTAATCTCGTTCAGAAAGGAAAATATATTCCCCTGTGTGTAATTTTTTCTGCTCAGGAACTCAAATTTGTGGACGCCGGTGGACTGTGCTGCGTCGGGAGGCCACGACCAGGTGCTGGAGCTGCTGATCAAGGCCGAGGCTGACGTTGACCCCACCGACAAGTCCAAGGTACCAGCATTTTGAATGAGCGAAGTTGCACCCTCCCGACCGCACCCACATCTCAGGTGACCCCTCTCCACCTGGCCTCCAAGGAAGGCCATCTGAAGGTGGTGAAGCTACTGTTGAAGTACAAGGCAGACGTCACCATCATGGACACCGACGGGAACAACGCTCTCGATCTCGCCATTGACAATGGACACGAGTGGGTGACGAGTGAATGTGCGGGTCACTGGGGAAGAGTTAGCTATTTCCTACAGTTACAATGCATTGTATATAGTCACCCTCTCTCATCCATTCTCATCTAGGGCTGTAGCGCTGGCAATAATCAAAGGTCCGAGGTGGGAGAGAGCATTGCGCAACACCACGGACGCGGCGTGGGGCGGGTCCACCACACCCCTCCGTAAACTCATCAGGAAGATGCCTGAAGTCGCAGAAGAAGTGTTCAACAGATGCACCGTCACAAACGCTACCAAAGATGGCAAGGTAATTGTCCTGTAGAGAGAGAGAGAGAGAGAGAGAGAGAGGGCTGGCAGCATAACACTTATATACCAACCCTCAAAGCAATTCAGCGAGCAAAGCAGGTCTAGCTTATATTGACAAATTGTACTCTGTATTTCTTTCAAAATGATGTCTGAATCTTCAGATTCGCCCAGACAGCAGAGAATATCGTGTTCTTTTCAACTACGAATTTCTCGAAGATTTTCAAGATCGCGAAACAGCCGCCCACCGCCTTGCTCGGCGCCTTACCAGAAAGTATGGAGTTATAATACCATACTTACAGTATACAGGGGTACCTCCTTTTTCCTTTTTTTAAAGTTCGCAGGATTTTTTTATTTACTTGAAGCTTTAATTAAATACTTGCTCTTTTTCCCATTTCCCACTACATCATAATGACGTCACCGCTGATGCTATATTTACTCTCTCGTCTAGGGAGCATTCGGCTCTTGCCATTAGTGCCGATGGAGAGGAACAGGAGGATTTGTCGGACTCGCGGAGTGTAAAGTCATCGGACGACGCCGAGGCAGGTCACGTGGACATGATCACGAAACTTCGCAGCCGGAAGGGACGGAGGTTCACCACTTCGTGGGGGCCTGAGGGGTTCCGAAAATCTCGCCACTCTCTCTCTGTCATGGTACGCTGATGCACACATGCTACACATTCTAACTTTATATGGTGTATGCCGTGTGAAAATTTCGGAAGGTACATCTGCATGAACACTTTCTTTGGTTTAGCGCACCAACCACGCCGCCGGCCAACTGCATTTACTTTTGCCTGATTTGGGGAATTGATGGCATGTAACTTCGTTATACAATTGAAGGGATCAGAGCCAGAGTGAGCCAACCCTCAATTATAGAGGACATTTTGAAGGAAAACCGGCAAGAGTTGTATATTGAGGGTTGGTTCACTCTGACTCTGACCCCTTCAATTACAAACTGCTACACTCTACAAATCAGGTTGCCTCTGCCCAAATCGACCTGCTGAAACACCCTCTTGTGACGAGTCTCCTGGACTACAAGTGGAGAACATACGGACGCTACGTCTACTTTGGAAACCTGTTCATCTACGTCGTTTTCCTCGTTTTTCTGACCGCGTTTGCCCTCACCTCGCCAAACCCTGTCTCCAGGACATGTGAGTCTTTTTACTTCTACTGCTTTTCTCCTTCCGTGAAATATTACACACAACACGTAGTTGTTTTGCGGTATAGAATGCAACATAAATTTTCGTACTTTTAAGATTACATTCAAGTGTTCCAAGCACATAATTTTCATACATCCAGGCAGTTAATGAAATTTTTATCCCCCCAAATTTCTATATGATATGTACTTGAAGATTCTATATACATTGCTAATTTTGCCACTTGATGGCGGTTGGTTGAGGTTGCTGCTCCCCTCTATACAGGCAGGGCAGTGCTCAGTGACTCGTTTGGCCGTAACCCAGACAACCTGACCGATTCTCAGATCGAAAACCTCGATTCCGAGACCAGGAGAATCAAGATTGAAGGCTCGTGTGCTGAAGGTAATCCACAAAGTAGTCAGAGGAACTCCTCTTCTTCGGTGTTGAAGAGTTCCTTACGTTTGGCAGCCATTAAATTTGGGCTCAAATTTGTATTTTTCACCATGAAGAGCACTTTATTCCACAGCTGTTAAAAAGTATTGCCAGATTTGTATATAGTTTTAGTGCAGCCAACGTCTTTGCTGCACAGTTTAGTGCAAGAGCCCCTGGGCTTTAAAACTCGTAAAACCTTACCTGTCATCTGCCACCTCTTTCACCACCACCAATACAATTCTCTACCTCCAGTGTTGAATACTGCCACAGAAGTGTTCCTCGTATTGGCTGCTATAGTGGTCATAGTATCGAGTGGAGTCAGGATTATCATGGAGCTGTTCCAGATGATCCAGCTTCAGCTGTTGCCCTATTTCGTCAACTGGGTGAACTGGGTTGAGATGACCCTGTTTGTCTGCTCAATTATCTTTGTCTTCACCTTCTTCACTGACTGCTTCTGCCCCACGTGAGTAATACTCCTAATAGGAGGGACCCATGTTTAACCCCGCAATTTTCAGTGACACGCTGAATTTTTTGACATACGTAAAGGCTGCCACTCTATCTTGTGTGAATTTACCGTCGAAATTTCATATTTCGGCAAAATTTGTGACACTTGCATGCTGCAAGGACTTTCATTAATTCCTCTCCCCCCTCCCTCCTTCGTCCCTCCCGCCAGTGAGTGGCAGTGGCAGCTGGGAGCCATTGCAGTCTTCCTGGGCTGGATTGATCTCATCATCTTCACCAGAAAGCTCACCTTCACCGGAATCTACGTTGTCATGTTCATCGACATCTTCTACACCTTCTGTCGCCTCTTCTTCCTCTCCTTCCTCCTGGTGGTTGCCTTTGGACTGGCATTCTACATGACCTTCAATGACCCCGATCTTATGGTATGTATGTGTATGTGTAGGTGTGGGGGGAGGGGGGAGGGGCAAGGGGGTAAATATTTGTCCCCCTGAATTAGTACCAGAAACTGCTATCTGGGATGACTTGGTCCCCCCCTGTACTTCTGGAAGACCCAATTTACTCCCCCTGAAAAAGGACATGTGCACTATGGAAACTTGTATAATATGAGCTTGAGAATAAGAGATACCTTGGGGACATTAAAATTGTCCTTTATTCAGAGGTGGCTCTTTTTCAATGCTACGTATGTTATATTCACACCACTCTGAAGCTGAATGGTAACTCACGGTCTTAGTCGTTTTCCCTCCTCTCTCCCAGCGTCAGCCATTTTCAACTCCAGCCAGATCTCTCCTCAAGACCATGACTATGACAACGGGGGAGTTTGAATACGATGGGATATTTCGACAGGCCCCCGGGGGCATCGACCCCGGGACCGTGCGGGAGATCCCTTTCCCTCCCGTCACTTACATTCTCTGGATTGTCTTCATCATTCTCATGCCAATCCTCCTCACTAACCTATTGGTATGCAATCAGCGGTCATTTTACGGTATCATGTAATCGCGTCACTCAACAGACACACATATACATTGGAAGCCTGATTAAACAGTGGCTCTAATGCCCTTGTGCTGTAGCGTTATAGCGAAGGTGCTATTTGGAAAGAGTCTGAGGTGCTGGTATTAGCACATGATAGTCATGTGACTGATAGTAAGTATACATGTGCCTGGTCCCGTAGGTTGGTTTGGCGGTTGACGACATCAAAGGCATCCTGGAAGCAGCGGTTCTGAAGAGACTGGCCCTGAAAGTGAGTTTTCCTGTTTTCTCTTTCCTTTCCTCCCACTCCCCTTTCATTTTCTCTTTCGTTATCTTAGCCTTTCTCTTTCCACTTCTCATCCTCCCGGCTGCTGTTTCCCCCCCTCCCTTATCCACCAATGCTCCTCCTGATCTCTATATTATTATTTCTCAGTTGTGCTATGAGCATTCGACAAGTGAAATATCAAAACAATCGTCAATCGTTGCTTTTTAATCTGCAATCTTATTCCAGGTCGAACTGACTCTGAACATTGAGGAACTGTTCCCAGTCCATCTCCGAAGGTTCTTCATCATCGGGAGTCAGGAGATAGCCCCCAACAGAGACTTCACTCTCTGGGAGAAGTTCAGCTACTTGGCCTGGGGCGGGGAGCGCACTGATTCCTCCGAGAAGATTGTCAACGCCCTTAATCCACCTCAGGTAACGGTGGAGAGCCCTGCTCTGAGCTTTTTAACCCTTTGCAGAGGAATGTCCTTTATGGTACAATGTATCCTACAGAGTAATAAGGAACCAGTGCCCATGCAAACAGTGGCTGATCCGAATTTTGGAACACCAACTGTTTGCTTCTTGTTTTTTTGCCTCTCATTCATTACACCTATACAGAGTGCTGTGACAAAACACTTCCTCCTTTACCTTTTTTCTCTCCCTCCCTCCCTCACTTCTCTATATGACATGAAGTTTAGTGTTACAATATGGTGATAATGAGGGTCGCAACTGATATAAACTGCACCCCACACACACACCAGACCCCCATAGAGCAGGTCCAGGGTCAGACCCGCTCGCTGCTGACAGAGATGGATCACATGAGACAACACGTGACACAGCTCACGGAGAGGAACCACAAGATGGAGGATATGCTCACTGCCATCGTCAAACACCACGTACGTAACAAAGTAGCTCTACCTACAAATATTGCCCCCTTGCCCCCTTGCCCCCCTCCCCTCCCCTACTGTAGCTGCACCAGAACAATTACACAAATCGCATTTTTGGTGAGGGAATGAGAGTGTAATAAAACGAAAATTCAGTGGCAGTGCAGTGTCCACTCGGTGCCGGTAGTGAAGTGCAGCTGCTGCAGTGCAGTGTTGGGCATGGTAATGCTCACCCCACTGGCTCCTGCCCCGCCCTGCTGGGTGTTGGGCATGGTAGAGCAGTCGGCGGTGAAATAGGAGTGTAAAGACAACCTTGAAATGACAAAACCTCTCTAATAAGGACACCTTTTCTTCCAGAACAGTTTTTGAACCTCTGACATAAGGAGACCTCACTTAGTGATACAGACATTTTTCTTCTGCCCCACTGGTGTCTGGGTATAATTATGGCTGATTAACTCTTGATTGCAGGGGATAGTTCTTGACGACGATTGTAAGCCAGCAGCAGTGACACAGGGTCCACTCCGATCCAGGACGACCCCGCCCCCACATGGGGCCGAGCGTCCTCGCACTCCGCCCCCTGGAGGGCGAGCACGCACACCAGAGACCAAGCTCACAGAGATCTAACTCCCTTGACCTTTAACCCACAGCCTATATAATTATATAGATGCATACCCTGAACTTTAACCTACTGACTTTAATGAGTTTAGACTACACGTTAGGATTAGGTTACCTTAACTTTTGAACCACCGACGAGATCATACTTTGTATTTTTAGCTCTTAGTGTGTATGCATATAGTATAGATTTTGAAATATTGATTTATGTACATTTTTGTATGGTGAAAAGATGAGAAAATGTAGCATATAAACATACACGAATGAAGTATACACAAATTATACACCTCAGAGAGCGAAAAAAAACTGTTAAAAATAATATTAATCTTAGTTTTGTGATGGGCTGAAATAATAAAACACGAGGGCTTCAAAAGATCATTGATTGAAAAAACGTTCATCTTTTGTGGGAAAAAAAAGAGAGAGAGATAGAGAGGGAAAGAAGAGAAGGAATTTTCAGACCAAGTTTGCTAGGGCCGTGGCAAAAGCTTGGACGGGAGAAAACGGTGCCTGAAAGTCTAGAATGAACGATCCACTGTCTATCTTTCCAAACTGCAACACCTGTAGAGACGGAAGAGAGGAAATCATTAATATGATGTAAGGCCGAAAACGAGCTACTTTTAAACCTCCAAACCTCCACTGTTGCTAAATTGTATATACTTCCATGTACAGTGGAACCTCTGAACAAGGAAATCTTGGGGACATTGCCTTTATTCAGCGGCGTCCCTCACTCAGAGGTAGTATACTAAAGTGTTAGTGTTGATGCCCCCTCCATTCCTTTATTCGAAGCTCCTTTTCCGAGGTTTAGGATAGTACGATGATGTGTCTCTAAGACTGTTACTCACTGTTACTCCTCACCCACAAAATACCACCATCCTCTCTCTTCCCTCTACAAACATCACACCACCCACCCACTAAACCCACCGGCAGCTACTCAACCATATCGCACTCTCTGGCTACACCCAGCCTCCCCCCTTCTTCTCCTGCAGGGATTTTTAAACCTGACAATGGAGCCAAAGTGGTCCACTCACTACAGCCAGTGTACACTTTGAGTGTTTGATAGCCACACTTGAGTGGGCCTGACACATTTTCACAGCCAGTCAGACACAAAGTATAACACACTAGCATTCTTAGTAGTGCCATGTGTGTGCCCGCAAATGCTTGCACTCAAAAGCGAGACCCACACTGCGTAAACTAACACAGGATACACCACCCTGACCACGACATACAACTTTTGTGGGGGTGCTGCATGTTCAGATAGTATAGATCACTGATTGAAGGCTAGTGCAGCTCACTGACTTAGCCAGACCACAACCTTATCAGCACTCAGTCATCTACATGAATTACGTCCTCATTACAAGAGTAACATGTCTCCTTGTACCACATACAAGAGACCGTGGCACCGCCACTACATGTACAACAACATGCATGTATGTATAGCTGTGTACTTAGGAGTGTATGTACAGTCTGTGAAAGGTAATAGACAGGAAACTGAATTTGGCATAGTGGCTAAGTTCTACAGCTTCACATGCAGAGTTTACACACACACAGACAGTTGACTTTTGAACCCGACAAATCACATTTTACACGCATTCACCTACCTGCTCCCCCTGCTACACGCGCACATTCACACACTCCCCCCTGCACATTACATGTGTGTAAAAATGCCTGCACGGTTTTGGGCAGAACCTCATGTACTGTTGCCACACAAACCTGTGTCCTTTGGCACTACACAGAGCTACCATGCACCCAGTATGCCAAAACCTCCATGGTAATATTCACCCACCCTTTTCCAAACTTGTGCACGAGCCCTAGACCATACTCATACCTGCATGCACACAGACATACCTTGTGTGTATTTGAAACAAGCCAAAACTAACAAGATGAGCTCTGGGCACGGCAAATAATTACGCCCATGTAATGTAGGCTACTTGGAAAAGGTTTTGCATTGCGGCATGTTGTCGTGCCCAAAAATGTGCGATCTTTTCTGTTTATGTCTAAGGAGTGGTGTTGCATGCTGGCACAGAGTGAAAGAGAGAGAGAGAGAGAGAGGGAGGGAAAGAAACCATGTATTCCTAAATGTTGGTTGCACAATTTGAAAAAACTAACCGCTCGTAACAAACACACATACGGAATTGTACAAACGTTGCATCACAGAGAGGCTAGTGAACTGTGAAGGCGGTGAATAGCTGTTTGCCAAGCTCCGCAGCCCAAATAGCAATCCACATGTCCATCTCCAGGCAAAACACTGTGCTTTTTAAGGTCCCTAGCGACGCTGCTGTCGCACCAGCATGGACCGTACACACAGGCATCTCTCCCCTTTATACGCAGCCACAATACACACACCTAGCATACATAGAATTGCACAACCAGACTCTGTGAAGACTTGTGTGTCGGTACATGCACGCATTTCTATGGCATGTTTTCGCGAAATGTCACACAAGAGGCAAGCGTAAGTTTCCCCCACCAAGGTCTCTAGTGTACGCTCTCTTTGATGTGCATACGTACACACAGCATGTATGTTGCTGAACACACGATACGAAGTGTTTGCGTTTAGAGAACACCCGTTTTAGACTCAACTACCGAACATGTGAAAAGGGTGTAAAGGACGTATGTGCATACGTGAAAGTGCAAGACACGCATGTGCATATGTCCAGGGTGTACACACTGGGAAAACAAGGAGGTTTTCAAAACATGATCGCACGCACGATACGATGCTGGCACGTACAAACACCATCTCCCCCCTTCCCTACTCTTACATCTACACACACCTGTTCTCCATCTAGCTCCAGCTGAAAGTTCTTGGCCGACTTTGTGGTGACTCTGCCACCGAAATCCAACTGATAGATCATGTGCTGCTCGTTCCACGTCGGCGTCTTGCTGTGAATCTGGACGTGCGGTTCAGTCGACGACGACGAGCTACTGGACGGAGACAGACTCCCCACCGTGCTACCACTGATCCCGCCCCCGCTGATCTGGGCCCGTCCCATCCCGAAACTGGGTCCGCAGGAATTGGAATGGGACCGAAAAGACGGCGGTGACTGTGCCTCGATCGGTCGGAGACTCTGCGAATCGAGGTTGATCGACTTTGGGAGTTGGAGGTCCTCCATGGACGTTATGCTCTCGATTAGGTCGTCTGGTTGCACAAGCGACAAATTAAGACTGTTCTGTGGGGATTCAGGCTCACCGGTGCTCTCTCCGGACAAGCTACAGGCGTCAGAGTCGATCCCGGAGTCGGGGTCCTCCAGCTGCGGGAGACACGCGATGACTTTCCTCGGCTGGATGTGCAGGAAGGATGTCTTGATGAGGATGGTGCCCATGTCGGCCGGGAGCGTCTCCGTCAGACTCTGAATCTTGAACTTTGACGCCATCACGTTTGACGTGACTTCGGCCAGCTGGTGGGGGTAGTCTGACGATGACGATGTTGTTGTGGCACCGTTGCGCAAGACCTCGCTAGTCAACGACTGATAGTGTCTCGGTGCATCTGCACCGACGCCAGTTGTGGCGTCATCTTCCCGACAGGCGAGCTGCACCCCGGATTCCGTATTGAGCGAGTTGTGTCCCTCCTGGGAAAAGAGGCTCAGCCCGCGAACATGGCTCTGTACCGTCAGCGTGCTGTCGGTACTCTCGCTTAGCTCGGTCCTCTCCGAAGTGTCCATTATCGAATGCCGAGAGTTGTACGACACGGTGCTCACCTGGGGTCGAGTGGGCAGCGAAATGGTGAAACTCTGTCTGATCTTTGTGCTGCGCTTGTGCCCGACCAGAATGGGTATGAGCGTCCCGAGGTGCTCCACGTAGAGCGTGTACGAGGAGGGGTGTCGGCGTTGGTGATGGTTGCCGTGGTGATGATTGGAGGTTGCCACGGGAGCGGTGTTGGGGATGACGGTGCAGTAGGTTCTGTGGGAGTGTGGTGGGGGGCAGGAAATGTAGTCGAGCAACCGCTGGGGCTGAGGTATATGGCCCTGCACAAAAGGAGGTGAGAGAGAAAGATTTACAGTGTGTATACAATACACACATGCCAGGTGAAGACATGGCAGTGTATTGAGCCAACTAAATCCACGCACATGCATGTAAAACACACAAAGACTACTCACTGACCCATTGTGTTTCCAACAGTGCGTTTCAAAACTCTTTGAAAACACGGTGCCTCTTTAGGCAGGGTTTACACTGCACTGTAAAGTACATATTATGAAATAGGACCTCCTAAAGTGTTGTTTTACGCAGTCCCAAAAGACACTGTGATGTACATGTACACAAATGTAGGAAGTCCAAAGTGTTGTACAGTATAGAGTATATACTGGCATGTGATATCTTTGAAGATAGAGGGTGAAGAGTGTTGTGGGGGACGAGGAGTGTTGTGGGGGATGTTGAATCAACATGGGAAACCCTGCTGGGAAACTAGTTGAAAGGAGAGTTGGGAAACATGCTCACAGGGCACTGCCAGGGCCCTGCGACTGTGTGACTGTATTGTAGGTGTGGTGTTATAGAGAGCTTTGGGCTCTTGTTAAAGTAAAGAGGTGTTTGGTTTTAGTAACAGTCAAGCTAGTCCATATGTGTTTGTTAAAGTAATGTCAAACAACTCCAGTAAACTTCAAAGTAGAAACCATTTCCGCTTTGCAGTAGTACTTTCGTATGGGCCCAGTATATATCTTTTATAGTCGGATGTATGGGTCTTTGTTGTGGGAGGCTACACTAATCCCCTTATTGCTTACTGATGTAGGACATCAACACAATTATACCACGGCTCTCAAAGGGTGTATATATGAGAAACCATTTCCGCTGCTTTGCAGTAGTGTATACTTTCGTATGGGCCCAGTATACATGTAATTGGGAAGTAAAACTTGTACGAAACATGGGAATTTACATGCATGCAACATACCCGTGGGAAGGAAGTTATGATATGTACGTAAGTTCCCTTATAGGGAGTCCTTTTAACTGGGCAGTGATTGTGAAATTGGTTTCAATCATAGCTATACGTGGTAAAAACTTAGAGTCGCAGTGAATACAATAATGTACATACTGTACTATGACCTGTAGAATTACAAAACATGTACATATATAGATGTTGGGCAGTATTTGTGTACGATGCGTGTGTCCCCCAGAGAATATGCAGAGCATGTTAGTCGGGCGTTCGGCCGTGAAACGAGGCGCAGAAAGGTTCACGCTACACCAACGACAACACGTAAGGTGATCACAAGGCAATAGCGTGAACCCTAGCTTGGTTGGCTGAATCGCTGGTGTGGCCGCGACGATGATATCATTGCCCCCGGGGAGTTATTGTAGTGACTCCAGGGTTAATCCTATGTCGACCGGGAAGTCGCTGTAGTGGCTACGGGGTTAAAGCTTCAGTACAAAACAGTGGGGATTCAACCATTTTCTTGTTGTGGTAAAGCCGTATATATAGTAATGCCGAGAGAACTACGTAATGAAGTAAAGTGGTGTTGTTTTTGAGAGAGAAATAGTTATGTGCACTTACACAACATGCCACGGTAGCGATGGACTGTGGAAACCTGTCCTGATTGGGTGACTTGTATATATACCTGGTGCCCTGAACCATAGATGGGGTATGTGTAGCTCATGGTGGTCTCCTGGTTTCATAAACTTAAAAAGGTTTTTTCTGAAAGTCTAAATAAAGTCTGCGGATTTCGATTGATATTGCAAGTGAGGTAGAGGTGGGAAGCATACAAGGGGGTTGGTTTATCTTGAAAGCTGAGACTACAAGTCTTGACTGACCCACTGTGTGAAAGTACTCAGCTTCACTGCCTGTCCACTGACAACCCACCCCCACACTTCCTCCCAAACAGGCTGCCCTGTAACAGGCTGAGACACCACAACTGCCTGAAGTAACGTCCTGTTTCCTAAACACATCATTCACAGCTACACAATATCGTCAGACCACAAGCACCACTACACAAAGGAGGCTCGCATGTACATGTTGCAGTGCCCAGACAGGACAGCATGAGCCCTGTACGGGCGAATGCTGTCCTGTCTGGGCACTGCAACAGATTTGTTGGATATCCCTAGGCAAATGACATGTATGAACCCTGCTTGCACATGTAGGATTGTACAATCCCCCCCTTGCTTCATACATGTCGGTTGCCTAGGGATATCCAACAAGTATTCATGCACACACACATCTGCAACAATTCACACCCACCCACACTACAATCCATGATCATTGATCAATGTGTAAAACGTTATAAAGTGTACTACACGTAGAAAGCTCCTTCTTGTTCCTCTTGTTCCTCTCCCTCCTCTGCTCAGTCGTGTATCGTACTGCATGCACACGACTCCCTTCTCTTGCAGAAATTGCAACAAAGTCAAAACCCAATACCCCGTCTACAAGAAAACGATACCCTAGTCCTCCCACCCTCACTTTCCCACGTAGCAACATTACACACTCAACTACATCGCCGGAACCAATGAGATATTACCACGTGATAAAACAGAAATATATCCTTTCCAGCACTCCGTCGTAAACTAATCCCGGCATTTCTCAGATATTTTAGGAATCGTGCCATCTCGGATATAATACTAGGTCTGTAGACACACACGAAACTATAAGATTAGGTTACATATGATTGGCATTCTCATAATACAATAGAACTCCATATAAGGGGCACACTAGGACTATGAATACGTATTCTTTATACCGCTGTATCATTTATTTGCAGGCTAAATACTATCCTGAAGCATAAGCAACGGATCGAAACAAGTGCCTTTATAGAGAGGAGGTATCCAATAAACGAGGTTCCACTGTAGAGAAACGGGTCACAAGTTCAAAAACGAGAGGGGGAGGGATAGTCTACAATGTAAGGTGACACAGTCATAGTATAGCTACAAGATACTGAGTACTTACATGTAGTTACCACAAGTGGTCAAATGGGGATCACAATCTACTTAGTGCATGGACTAGCATAGTTAGCACACACATCAGCAAATTCTGGTGAAAAATCAGCAAGACACATGTGTCACGATCGCTTTAACTCTTTTCACACTATCACAGATGCATTCCGATAAAGTCACATTTTAACCCTTTTCACACCAGCAATCCAAATCAGGTAGATTATATAGCTTAACCCTTTTCACACGTAGGTATAATTTGCTGTTAACCCCATACACACCAGCACAATTCGGCAGTTATCACTATACATACCTGTATAACTGGATCAAATACTTCGGCCACGGACATCTTCAACTTGAAAGGGAGAACTAGATTGTGACTCTGGTCTCTGGACTGGAGGTATTGCGAAATGGCCTTCTGGCAGAGGGACTGAAGCGAGGGGATTTCCCTCCGCACCGTGAGGGAGTGGAGGAGAGATTTGGTCGCTATAAAGATTTTCTGGTCTCCGTGGGCCCAGGTCATGGCTGTTACTGGCTCCTGCAGTGGAGAAGAAGGAGAAAGAGAGAGAAAAGTAATTCTTCTTCTGGGGCCTAAATGGTTTTGGCCCCTGATATGATACCCACTCATGCCTCTAAAGTCTTTCTGACCATTCATGTGTACATGTGTGTTCTTACAGTACTGTCAAGACATAATAGGAAATGAACAAGAATGAGAGATGGAGGAGGGAGAAATGAGGGAAGGGGAGAGGGAGGAAGGAGAGATGGAGGAGGGAGAAATGAGGGAAGGGGAGAGGGAGGAAGGAGAGTGGATGAGGGGGAGGGAGAAAGGGAGGGGGTGGAGGAGGAGACACTTAAATGAACATCCATTCACGTGTGGCTTGTGAGCGATACTCTAGCCAACAGACAGAGAGAGAGAGAGAGAGAGGAGAAAGAGAGAGGGGAGGGAGCGAGATAGGGGCGGTTCTTTTGTTCAGCGGTAAACTCCTTTTGACTCTTTCACAGCCACACAATAGCCAACCACACCAGTTAACAAATTGAGCTGCACTCCAACACTGAAAGGCAGGCCTCGCCTTCGTACTCCACAAACGAAACAGAGACCCTTTTGTCTGGTCTCTTTCCATTCACACACTCTCTGGTCTCTCTCTCCCCGTTCTAGCGGAAACTACCCAAATTCTCAGAATCCTGCCTGTGTTAAATCAGTAGTGTTTTAGGTGTGCAGTTCTGCATAGGCACTACACACAGTTGTTATATGGTTTGAGTACGTGGGGATTGGAGGCAAGCCGGCTGGTTGGAACAACAGTAGCCAGGCAAATGCCAAGCAGAGTCGATTTCCTCATTGGAGACCCGCTGTATACGGGAGCGAGGGACTGGCGAGATGCCCTTTATCTCGCCGCGTTATTGAGTCTGTGCGTATGCGGTGTAGGGGCAGCGGCGGCCAAGGTCGAGGGAGAAGAAGGAATGATTAGCGAACACATCCCTGGCACTGAGTTAGAACAAACACTTGCAGCTGCAAACCCACTAGACTCATATCTCCCCGGTGTAGCTTTGGCGACTCTTGTCACATTGGCATTTATGGGAGTGTGGTGTACGTAAGTTTGAATCGAATTTTGTCGCGTGGTGTATATACATGAGGTACATATATAGTGTGATTGGTTCTAATCAACTTTAATCTGGTGTGTATATCAGGCAATAAATGTGTTAGGTTCCATCAAGCTGACTGTTATCTTGTCACATTGGCATATTATGAGGCGGTATGATAGGCTCTAAAGCAATCAATGTGTTAAAAATCAGACAGACGTAAGGTTCTGATCAAATTTTGTCATTTTCGCCTACTATATATCGAGTCAGTAGCTACTGTGGTTCTCTCTAACAAGAACTTTATCTTGTGTGGTCAGCTTATGACGCAAGAGAGAAGTCAGTTCTACATCTGTGGCAATGTCTGTAATGTTAGCAGTATCAACAGCAATATGAGGCAATCTACCTAGGGTCAGTTCTATTGCTAGTGCCAATGCATAGGACTACACACGATGATGGCCTTGTACACCTGTGAAATATGTATATACATACATGTTTTCTTGTATAAGTATACCAGCACACCACCATAAAGGGACTCATCTATACACACACATACCACTTTGCATGCATATGCAACACTTTTTACGTACCTTAGTTCCGAGAGAGAGAGTAAACATCAGCTGTCCCGTCGGCTGAAAAAATCGAACTGTCGACACGCCCTGCGACTTCCTAAAGCCTGCCACGGCTAGAATCGACCCCTTCCCGGCCCACGCCATTCGCCCGTCCATCAACCCAGTCCTTATTATGGTCGCCTGCTGATCCCCGCACGAGTTCATGAGGACAACTTTCCCGTTGCGGAGGTAGAGAGAGAGCCGCACATTGCTGCCATTCCTGGGGTTGTTGGGGTCTGCCGGTGCGTCCAAATGTGGCTGGCCTCGCGCCAAACCCTCCCCCTCACCAGACTCTCTCTGAGCAACCGTCTCTGAGTCTCCGGCCGTTGTTTCGCGACCCGAGGAGCTGGATACACTCGCAGACGATGCCGGTTTCGGAACCTGGACCCACTCCAGTCCGATAATCCCGATTCCCGGGAGGACCTCGGTGGTTGAGACGAGCATTCCCCCGTGAGTAGCGTTGAGCTCGATCAGCTCCCCGATACTGGAACCAATCACGATCCGAGAATCGTCCGGACTCCACGTCGAGCTGAGGAGTTTCGAACTCTGCGAGTGGTTCGAGGGACTTGTCACGAACGACCCGAGGTTCAGATTGCGCGCCCAGATTCGCCTCCCGTACGCCGTACCCACGAGGATGTAGCCGTCGGTGTACGCAATGAGGACCTTGCTGCCGTCGTTGCTCCACTTGAAGTCGCTAATGGGGGTGCCCCTGTTGTTAACGAGCTCCATTACTGACCGCCCGTTGTGGTTTCGCCAGACTATGACAGTCCCCGATGCATCGCAGGTTGCAATCTTGTCAAGGTGCTTGTTCCACTGTACTATCGTTACCTACAAGAGGAGGGGAAGGAGGGAGAGGTTCAATACAATGATAACGGCGTACATTTTAACATACCCAATGAACCTCGGATTGTAGAACATTTGCTTACCACTCACTTGCTCCATTTGTGCGTGGTAAGCTAAAAATATTGCTAACATCAAATTATTACATACTCAACACTTGACTCCCACCTATCTCCTTCTGTAAGCAAGTATTATGGACTTGTGTACAGACTACCTACCCCTACCCCCTTCAGTAGCAATACTCCCTCCCAAACACACACAGGAATGTCGAGAACTCCAGCTACCATAGTAGATCCCACAGACTGTACTCTATCACCGCGAACAACCCGTAGTACCATGTCTCAAAATATCTTTGAAAATATAACTCCAGATCTTACTAACTGGATTCCATTTATGTGTACTGGGTGTTCAATTGTGTACACTTTCTATAGGCCGGTCAAAAGAAGCTGGTACAGATGGCTTGTTGGCTCTCTATTGAGCTCGGGCCGTTACAAGCTAGCTCTGTATATAGCCGCTTGCTGCGCTAACACATAAATGGGACGCTAGGTTGCGACGGGGACAGCGAACGGTCGTCCACATGCGAGCTAACTAGCTGCACTGTTTCCAAAGGTCAGTCCCTTCCTATGAAAATCGGTGCTCAACGAAAATCATGCTCGGGCCATGCGACGCGGCCGGCTTGCTACGGCAAACGACGGACATTCGACCACCGCACACATGGAACTAGCTACACCCGGACCCTACGCCACAACAGCTAACAAAACAACTCCTTCTTTGCACACAAACACGGCCATCGTCTAAAATATTTCACCGACCTCGGCAGAGTGCTCCCGAAAATTGAAGTTTCTCCGCATCCCTTGTCTTTCCAGCAAGACTTCGGGAGCCGGCGTCGCTAGCTCCGTAGAATCTCCATCTTCCTCTGCCCAGTCCTTTGCCTCCGTGTACGTGACACCGACCGTCTTGCGGGAGTTGCCGGCTGCGAGCCAGCCGCGGCCGGCGTCGCCTTTCCACGACAGCGAGAGGACATCGGCGCCGAGACTGGCCGGCGAATGGCGATCGAACGTAGCGTACATCTCTCCCGATGCTATCTCTTTTCTTGCTTTCCGTATGTGGTCCTGCACAGCTGCTTACGATGAGAACTGGAGCGGACACCGAACTGCGGACAACTGGAGGAAAGCACTGCTAGAAAGTTACTACAAAGGCATCGGAAATACCTATTATACTCGCATACCTCGCCCCATGCGTGCGTATAAAAAAACCCGCAACATTTACTTTGGCGGCACGCGGTCGGTATACGATAAGCGCGGGCTTGCGGTGGAATTGCGTGCGGCCGCGGCGCGCGGGCGGCATAGAAACCGGAAACGGTTCTAGAAATGTCCGGTGTGTTTGTTCGTAATAAATCACCACTTCCTCCGTCTTCCGTCGCAGAGTACAATGGTACAATGGTACAACTGTCATGCATCATACCCACTATAGTTATGCAGAAGTGTTTATCATCAATTACTACTCCTGTATCAGAAGATGATAGCAATAACTTATATATGCACAGTTGGTCCACTTTCAAAACTCAGTTTATTCTGCTCTCCTTCTCCCAAACTGCTTGTTTATACATTGGACAACCTTTAAAACCACAGATTGAAACTGACAACTTGCTGGCCCATATGGAGGGGGGAATCATTATATCAACACCCTTTATTAGAGAAACTGCAACTAAAGGATCCACAGAAAGTAATGCATTTACACATGCAAGTTGCAGACAACACGAACAACACTATTGCTTGAGCTTCAGAAGATATTGTCCATTCGCATGATATATTATATAACATCTCATTCAAAGACGTGTGATGCAATGGGTTGTGTACTGCTGGTCAATGACTGTTGTTCCTTAGCCAACAGATTGAGTCTTAAAAGCATGCGCCCAATGCTAATGAGTGCCATATGCACTCTCAATATGGAGCAGCTGGTGCATTCAAAGCTTCAGAGAGGTTTGCTCGGGCTATATCATAAAAGTGCACCGCCATATCCCTTTTGTTGTGACCCAGAGGATTTGGCTAGGAGTAAGGCATGTGGTTAGGTGACGAGAGTTGGCTGTATGAAGAAGCGAGTCTGGCTGGCAGGCCAAGTGGGTTAGGGGTTAAGAAGGATGTAGGCGTCTATGCACACAGTAAATTAGAAGTCCATACTCGGCGAAGGTGCGACCACAAGGCCTTTTGTAGACTCTTGTCAATGGCATTATAATATATACTATATCACTATATACTGTAGAGATGTATAATTGAATGGGGTTAATTACTTTTGCGTGTGTGATGTATATAAGTAGTCTACATAGCATAAAACTGGGACTTGCAGTGTGTTGATGTTGGTTAGAGAATGCATGATCTATGGATCTCTAAGTGGTATAATCATTCTCCATGGTCTTCTGGGCCTTAATTAACCTCATTGTTAACCTGCTATTGGAAAAAAATTTGGGCACAAATATTTGTACTCCAACATGCATTTCACACCAATATCTGTAGCGCTAATTAGAAGGGGCTGGGGAAAATATTTCACACCACCCCCTATATAATTATGCAGGAATGTTCCCAACCGCTATGTGCGAAATCATTAACACCCATTGCCAGAAAACCACATGTTAATCCCCTCCCATTCTCCCAGCTGATGATCCTGTAACTGTCAGCCAAAGTGTATAGCATCATTATGTCCCACTCCTTTCATTTCATGGCTCATATTGAATCTGAAGACACCAAAAACAAGCAGCATTTTCATCTGCCCTAAACCACATTGAAATTGCCAAATTACGACAACCCTGTGGTTCCCCCTCCGATATTTGGACAAAAAACATTAGACAATGAAGAACAATAATACAAAACATCTCTAGATAACTTTGCATCATACAATCATTAGTTAAATATCATTACACAATAAAAAACTTTGACACATTAAAAGCAGTCGAGATTATCATTGTAGATGGCATCAAAGGTTTTGCTGCTTGGTTAATTAGAGGATGACACAGCAGCTTATGTAGGGGTCTGGTTCATAGATAATCTGTTGTTGACCGGGTTGGACACCTGGTGGCACCTGTTGGCCCGGTACGGTTCCTGGTGGTAACTGTTGGCCCGGTGGTGGATACTATAGTGTGGAGTTAGAGGAGAGAAGGAGAAGGGGTATATAAAGGTATTAGGGGAGGGAAGTGGGAGAGAGAACAAACCATGGACATTCTAGATACAGATTGCATAGAAAACACAGTGGTCACGGTTTACCGAGAAATGTTTCGAAAAAGACACCTCCCTATAAAGGACACCGTGGTTCTGCGCCATACTAATGCGCCATACTAATGCCTTCAGTCTCAGTAAGAGGCTGCACTTTGGTGTCCTTTATTCTGTTTTTGTTTGCATTCCTCCAACAAGAAATATGAAGAGATTGAAGAGCAGTATATAACAAGAAAGTTAAAGTAAGAGGAAATACAGCAATAGCTGAACCTGAGCAGGAGGTGGAGGGTAGGCGGGGTCTGGTGCGACGTTAAACCCCACGGGTGGCGGCTGAACGCCAGGGTACGGAGGGGGCGGGGCACCTGGTCATGTGACAGAGCACCAATATCATGTGACACGAATTTTACGCATACATTCCTGAAATTCCAACGATACTGGCGGGCGAGGTAGATTCAAATTAGCGCCAATAGCTGGTGTCAACACCGGTGTAAATATTTCCAAATACTGAACGTACCACAAATATTTGTAAACATCCCACTCAACCAAGGTAGTTGTCGCCACGAGATGGAACAATATTTACATTCATGGTTCATTATTCACAGGCAGTTATTTCCAATTTTGTTCAATGGCAATGTGTACAGACCATAATACAGTTGAACCTCTGCATAAAGGACAAGCTGGAAGCAATACTTTATACGCAAATGGTCTCCTTTATTCAGAGGTGAAATCAATGGATCGAAACAAGTTTCCTTCATAGAGAAGTGTCCCGGTTTACTCGTGTTTGAGTATCTTTCAAAAAAGGTTCTGTACTGAAGTGGATATTTTGTGGTTGGGGACCAATCAAAATTTTGCACTCTGTTAGTTTCCCGGCGAAATTATCATTAGCTCCGAACTGTAAAAAGGTTTTTCTCTCCCAAAACTGTTTCACTGAAACAGTGAATACTAGGAATGCGCACGCGTATATTTTGCCTCGCGCCTGCCAGCCAATGTGTAAACAGTCCGACTGAGGCCGCTCGTGCACGCGCTCTACTGACTGCGCGCGAAGCCAGACTTCCTACGAATCTGCACGCACGGCGGAAGCTAGACTTCCTACGAATGACAGAAGTTGACATTCCTAAGTGTGACTAATTGACATTCCTAAGTGTGACTAATGCCATTCCCTAAGCGTGACTAATTGACATTCTTAAGCGTGACCGACACGTACGTACGCATATCGCGAGAATACAACCCGGAGTAGTTGCCTCACGCTAATGCGCTCGGTAATGATGTACAGTGTATATACCTGGTGGATAGTGCTGGGGAGGTACAGACTGAGGTTGCTGGACTGCAGGAACTGGTTGTGTCTGTTGTACTACCACCACTTCTCCTTGAGGTGGGCCAGCTAGAGAGAAGGGGGGAGGGGGAGGGAGAGGGAAAATAAGAGAGAGAGAAAGGAAGGAAGGGGACAGGGAGAAGTGAAAAGCGAATGTTGGGTTTTTGGAGTTACGGAGAAGAGAAAAATGGGAGAGAAAAGAGGGAGGCAGAAGAGCGAGGGGGGTGGATACTTAGAAAGTGAAGAGAGAAAGAGAAAGTGTTTCCTACAGTCATATGGCCCTCTTCCACAGTGAAACTAGCTACACAGTGTCCTCTTATGAAAGGTCTTTCCTACTTCCTACTGCTTTAGCATAGTTCATCTTCCTACATCAAATTGACAAAGGGCTTAACGGAGTGCAGGGCTTCTTTGGAGCAGGAAGGACACCCATGAGATGAGGACACCTCTCCAACCTTTCTCCAACAACGCAATGAAACTTAACCCCTGAAATAAGGACACCTTATTAGACGCTTTCTTCTGCCCCAATGGTGTCCTGATCTGAGAGGTTCCACTTTGTTTGAGACACGAATGCCTGCTGGCTCACCTGCGCTTGCGGCAGCTGCACCAATCACAACTCCTGTTGCTAGCCCGACGGCTCTGCGTCGTCGACCCCACCCGAACCCAAACAATGGTCTTTGGGGTCCGATGTGATGATGGTGATGTAATCCGTGGTGGTTATGATGTAATCCATGATGGTGGTGGTGATGACCTATTCCATGATGGTGATGACCTATTCCATGGTGGTGATGACCTATTCCATGGTGGTGGCCTTGGGAAGAAGGAAAGAGGAGGCGAAATGGAGAGAGGAGAGTGAAAAATGTGTCTGTTACTGTGTGTAGAAAAGTTGAGCAATAACAAAATGCAGTCAGGCGAGACAATGTGCGTACGCGCACGCACGCACGCAATCCGTGCATGCGCGCGCCATCGGCAAAGCTAGCGCTAACCTACCACCATGGTGACGGTGACCTCCTGCACGTCGTCCTCCTCCTCTCCTCGGCATCTCTCAAGGCTCAGTACTCGCTGCAAGAAGAACAGAAGCTGGGGTTTCTCTTAGCCCTAGCTCCACACCAGCCACGCCCAATGAGCGCGTGAGTAAACATTTGGGCGTGGCTTCGTAGCTACCAGTCACGCCCACCCACGTGGCAAGAAGATAGACGTAGACGCCTACATTATAGAAAGATGGATATGCAGAACCAGGGAATAGTGTAAGTTTGTCTAGTCCTCGATGCTTGTATGATGAGTCTACCGGTGCGCGTGTTACTCCTGTCTGCATCGTTTTTCGCCCAGTAAGCCGAAGACTCAGCGAGCTAAACGGGCTCTGGAGACCAAGGCGCCGAAACTGGTGGAAAACACGAAGTCTGCTCTCTTCATTCGTGGCGGGCACACGAGCGAGACGGTCACCCAGGCTCTCAAAGATTTGGTACATCTTACTAGTTACCCACAGTGGCAGATTAGAAGGGTTCTAGTCATTGGTGGTCCTTTACTCTTGGTTTTAGAGTGTGTTCAAGAAGCCTGAGGCGGTGGTATTGAGGAGAAAGAACATCTTACGACCTTTTGAAGATGCAACCTCAGTTGTAAGTCTATTTATTGGGGACTTTTTGAAAAAAACATTGACCCAATCTTCTTCTTGTTCTCTTGGTTTTGCATGGCAAGTAATGTCCGCTCTCCTGCTCCCAGAGTTAATCTAAACTGACCTTACTTTTCACGATATACTGTTGTTGTTGTTGTTGTTTGTGTTTGTGTAAGTAGGAGTTTCTTGGACAGAAGAGTGACTGTTCGTTGTTTGTGTTTGGCTCTCACAGCAAGAAGAGACCGCACAACTTAGTAATAGGTGAGTTCAAAAAACCCACTTTCAAATTTTTTCAATTTATGCTGACAACACATCTGTATAGGTCGGATGTATGACTTCCATGTTTTGGACATGGTTGAGCTTGGAATTGAAAATTTCACTTCCCTCTCCAGTTTCAAGGTACATTTTTACGATTTTTCAGGAAAAAAATTTCAACCGAAATTTAAATGTGCTGTGATGGTGTGTCTGTACTACCCAGTCGGGCAGCTGTGCTCTTGGTTCGAAGCCGTGTCTCGTGTTCGCCGGAGACCAGTTCGAGACTGAGGTGGAGTTCATTCGACTGAAAAACATCTTTATTGGTATATACACAAAAACCTGTTATTAATTGTCTTTCCATGGTAATTTTCTACGTCCTTATGGTTCACTTGTGTCGGTTGTATACTTTCAAATCTTTACTTAGAAATTTATCAGGAGGGAGGCAAAATGCGTATTAATGGAAAAAGAGAGGTGGACATTTAGATTATGCGGTATTCAGTGATACTTCTGAACTTCCAAGTCTTCCCTATACTTTCTGTGCATTGTTTTCTGCATTTCCTTTTCCCTTCGCTGCACACACAGCAGATGACTCATTAGTGATCTGTTTCTTACTTATAGACTTTTTCCGAGGACAAGAACTGAAGAAACTGGCTCTGGATGGTGTAGACCACGTCATCACTTTCACTGCTGCGGAGGGACGCGTGTACTTTAGAGTGTTCCAGTGAGCTCTCTATGAGTCTCTCCCTCCCTCCCTCCCTCTTTTTCTTCTCTTTGTGTCTCTCTGTCCCTCTCTCTCTCTCTCTCTCTCTCTGTGTCTCTGTCTGTCTCTCTCTCTCTCTCTCTGTCTCTCTCTCTCTCCCTCTCTTTCTGTCTCTCTCTGTCCCTCTGAGGTGTATATACCAGAGGTTTCTAGCTGTGGTCTGGCTGTCCATGTGGCTCTATGATCATCTCTCACACACACCCTCCAGTATACTAACATTTTTAGGTAGAATAATTCCATGGAGATTTTGAACCACTCTGCATAATGCTTGATACAAATTACCTCTCTCTCTCTCTCTCCCTTTCGCTCTTTCTCCCTCCTCTCCCTCTCACGTTCTCCCTCCTCTCCCTCTTTTGATCTCTCTCTCTCTCTCTTCTCTCTCTCTCTCTCCCTCTCTCTCTCCCTCTCCCTCTCACTCTCTCTCTCTCTCTCTGTGTCTCTCTGTCTCTCTCTCTCTCTCTCTCTCTCTCCCTCTCTTTCTGTCTCTCTCTGTCCCTCTGAGGTGTATATACCAGAGGTTTCTAGCTGTGGTCTGGCTGTCCATGTGGCTCTGTGATCATCTCTCACACACACCCTCCAGTATACTAACATTTTGGGTAGAATAAAAATCCATAGTCTGAACCACTCTGCATGATGTTTGCTCCGGTGCATTGCCAATGTGGCAGTGTCATCAGATACTATATATCTCTCCCTTTTGCTCTTCCTCCTCTCCCTCCTCTCCCTCTCACGCTCTCCCTCCTCCTCCCTCCTCTCCCTCTCACCCTCTCCCTTTCCTCTTCCATTTTCCACAATTCCACGTTATTTCCTCAGGGTCATTCTGAAGAAGTCGGGGTGCAAGACACCTCGTGTTGAGCTGGAGGAGATGGGACCGCGACTGGACCTCGTTATGAGGAGGAGCCATCTTTCTTCTGACAGTCTTCTCAAACAGGCCTGCAAGAAACCAGCTGCTGTCAAAGTACGTCCATTGCAGATAATGTCATAATTATAGTGGTGAAAAGCAAATATGGTGTTTTTTAACGGAATTATAGCAGTGACTAAATTTATGAAGAGCTAATTGCAGCCTTTGTGTACGTCACGTCACGTTTATTTCTGATTTTGACGTCTCTTTCTTTTCACGTGCAGCCGAAGAAAGTGAAGAACGTTTCTCGCGATTCCTTTGGATCGAAACTGGGCCGAGTGCACATGAAGAGACAGGACTTTACCCAGCTCCAGACGAGGAAGATGAAGGGACTAAAGAGGACAAAGCCACACTCGTCCACTCGCAACAAAGACGGACCACACACGACCAAGAGAGCCAAACTAGACTCAACCGCGTCGTCTTGATATAGCTGCCAAACTTACCACTCACCGATATTTTGCCTGTAAACACATAAATTTTTAGCCAGCAACATGACGTGAATCAATTCTGCAAAAAAGGGATTTTCAGAGGGAAAGGGGATGTTTTTATTAAAATCCCATGTGAATATGTACCACCTCTAGTTATTAGTACTAAAATGTGGTCATCTAGCATTGAAATGAGATGTTCATATAGAGCAGCATAATATTTCATTACACATTAACAGATAATGTATGCATGCATGTGTGATACGGCAAGGCACATAAGCTACTGGAAGGAGACGTTTCTGGGGTCCATGGTGGTTCGTAGTGTGTGCCACTGTTCCGCCCACTCGCCCGGGTGGGCCAGGACCATTTCCCAATGGGACACCTCGTCTCCAATAGAGTCCATCCAGTCGTGATTCCGGGACGACCCATCGGGCAATGGGCCAATGCGCAATCCACCGATGAAGCTGCTTCCCTTTTTGTCCCAGTCCCAAACGGTCACTTCCAAAACTCTCTCTTTCGCTATCTCCTCCAAAACCACCTTCTCGTACGTAACGATCTCCTCCCACACCGGGTCGCTCTGGTTCTTAATAACGCCCACCTTCCGTTTCCCCGACGACGACTTGTCGGGTAACAGGTAACACTTGACGACGGGGTCGGGTTTACCGGCCCCGCCCATGCTGGGGAAGTCCCTCCCCTGTTTTATGACGACATCGAGGGAACCGCGGGTTTTCCCCTTTTTCGTTCCACTGGGCGTGTAGCGGATGGCGAGGTTTAGTTGGCCTCGGTAGAAATCTGTCGCTCCTGTATCCTCATCCTGTGGGCGTGGCCAGGGAATAGAGATGTGTGTCAGTAATTTTAGCTCTCTTGGTACTTTTTGGTGACTATGTTTTTTTGCCAGGATTTGCGTACGTGGAGTTACTAAGGACACCCCTGAAATGGGGCACGTTTTCTCTTCCCAAGAACAGTTCTTGCATGGAGTTCAACCCTCGATTAAGGACACCTCACTAATATGGACACTTTCTTCCGTCCCATTGGTGTCCGGATTAGAGAGGTATAATTCCCCACCGTACAATTATACCCTAACACCAACTTACGTACCTTATCCTGAAGGGTATACCAGCACTCAGTGGGGTTACTGAGATCCAGAGAAGCCAGGGGGAGTCTCACCTCACCCAGGAACTGATTCCGACCAAATCGGTCCCAGTCCCAAACACTCAGCCACACAGTCTGCGAGTTCAGCTCCAATGGTGCTACAATGTACTGCAAGGAGGGAGAGGGAGAGAGAGGGAGGGAGAGAGAGAGAGAGAGAGAGAGAGAGAGCACATCATAAAAATGGCAAGAACACTGCACTCTCAGTCTTTAAGGTACGTATTTACGATGATTTGATGGTTTTTAACCCCATTCGCTCATACTTTGAAACGCTATAATGCACCTTGAGTGTCTGATTGTAGACTGGGTTCAGCGTCTTTCTGGCAATGTTAGTCTTCCTCTTGGAGCTCTTGCTGTGGTCGGGGAGGAGGTAGGTCTTGACGTAGGGATCTGAGAATCCGTTGCCGTCGGCAGCCGCCAGATCTCGGGCTCTGTTCACGTGGATGTGCAGCATTCTGTCCCGACTGTGGTAGCTAGAGATCGGGGGGAGAAGCAAAGTGGGAAGAGAGACACACGATTTATTGGATGCTGAGTGTGAGTTGACTAAGAAGTTCAACTACTTTTGCTTCAGTATGCTATGCATGCTGGCCAAACGTGTTAGCAAAATTATTGTCACAAAAAAGCTGCTTTTCACAAATTTGTAGTTGTAAGGTACATGTGAAGTAATACATTACATACAGTACCGAACCTCACTTCTTCCATCTACAGTAGTTCCACATACTATTGCAATAGTGGAGAACTGAGGGAACGAACCTAATCTTCAGGAGTATCTCTCCAGAGATATCATAGTTCCCTTTCCCTCCTCCTGCCGAGCTGTAGATGCTCAACTGACTGCCGAGACTGGAGCGACTCCCTCCGCCTTTAACCCCTAGGAGACCAGCTCTCTTCAGGGGACCCGCCTGCTGGATGAGGGTTAAAACAGAGCAGAACCTGTCATCTTAGAAAAAAGTTAAACCTGGGCGGAACCAGACAGGTACATGAACAGAACAACGCAAAAGAAAAAATTATAAGTGCCATTAGCACGCGGATGGAAGAAACCAAATTTTACTACGCTATTAACCCGAGGACATGTTAACAAACCATTTATGAATAATTAATGATGATGTAATCTTACCATCATCTGATTGGACGATCGTTCGAGGGTGCTACCTGGAGTGACGACATTGGACGAGGGGGGCATCTCTGGTGACGAAGATCTCGAACGAAGATGATCACCGCTTCGAGCAATATCCTCCAGGGTCAAAGGTGGAATGGAATGGGGGAGGCTGGAACTGGAACGAGGCCCAGTATCAACCAGTTTCTCCAATGATGTAACCGTTTTCTCCAGGGTGGCCGATTTTTGCGGAGGGCCAGCGAGCGCTTTTGGTGCAGCGGCAACCTTGCGGAACTCTTCGTCGAGATTGGTGGTTGGTTTGGCAATTTTTGGCACAGTTTTGCGAAATTCGTCGACTGGTGGCTCGGCATGGTGCCTGGGTGGACTACGGCTTTTATCTCTTCTATTACCGGCTTTACCGGCTTTAGAGTTGGTCGAAAGTGCCGCTCCCTTTTTAGAGGAATTTGTTTTCGATGCACTTTCTTCTTGTGAAGGTTTGGGGGAATGTTCGTTTTTCTTCTTTGGATCAATTTTACGAAATTCTCCTGTGGAGCTGGTAGCGGTGATGGTGTCATGTGATGATGTCATCGATGTTGTCGGCTTCATGTTTTCTCGTAGGGCGTGCCACTGCTCCGCCCACTCTCCCGGGCGTGCCAGGACCATCTGCCAATGGGACACCTCGTCCCCGGTGGAGTCCATCCAGTCGCAATTTCGGGACGACCCGTTTGGCAACGGGCCGGTGCGCAAACCACCGATGAAGCGATCGTCGCCGGAATCCCACACGGAAACTTCCAGAACTCTCTCTTTCGCAATCTCTTCCACGGTCACTCCCTCGAAAACAAAACTCTGTTTCCAAGACGGATTCGCAGATTTCTCCACAGTCGACGTCCTCCTTTGTGAAGTATCGGGAAGAAGAGTGGTGGTCACATAGGAACAGTGATGGGGAGTGTTGTTGACGTCTTCACCCGTTGGAAACAGGTTTCGAGCTCGTTTTACCAGGACGGAGAGCGAGCCTCGCGTGACGCCAGCTTCGCTCTCTCGAGGTGTGAACCGCAGAGCGAGATTTAGTTGAGAGGTGCTCGGGTTAATGTTGTATGGCTGGTCCTATGGTGGACAGTGAGAACAGGTATACTGAGAATTTACTGAGGTATACTAAAAGTAACAGTAAACAAATTACTGAGAATATGCAAAGGATTACCAAGAGAGTGTACTCAAGACTATTGAAGAGAGTATGCAAGGGATTACTGAGCAACAGAGGGAGTATGCAAAGGATTACTAAGACTGTCCAAAGATTATGCTAGAGTTTACTGCAAGGGATTACTGATAGTATCCAAGAAATTACTGAGAGTAAACAAAGGTTTACTGAAGCGTACCTTGTCCAGTAGTGGATACCAGAGCTCAGTGTCACTTCCAAGGTCCAATGAAGCCAGGGGCAGTCTCACCTCACCCAGGAACTGATTCCGACCAAATCGGTCCCAGTCCCATACACTCAGCCACACAGTCCGAGACGACAGCTCCGACTCTGACACAGAATACTGCGAGAGATATGCATTAATAGGTCACCCCATCTCTAATGACAACCCTGAAATGAGGACACCTCTACACCTTCTCTTTCCCCAAGAACACATGTATAAAACCCAGTGTGATGTTTGCCGACGTATCTTGACTACATTCATAAAACCATTTTCTGCGAGACTCAAGAAAATAATCAAAATACTCACTCTGTTTACAGTGTACTTCCTCCTAATGCAAGTGAACCACACAGGAGGTGCTTAATTGGGTGAAACCACACTCTTTCAGCAACTATACCAGCAATTAAAGCTAGTATACAGCTATTCCGGTACAATGGCTACAACTCAGGGAAATGGAGAGGATACAAGAGTAAAGCCATAAGGAAGCGTTGAACACTGTAAATGTTATCATTACTGCTACTGTGCATCCATAGCCACTCCCATCAGTCTTCTTTACTAAGCCTCAATACAGCTAGCTGCTGAAAATGTAGGGAGAGAAGAGGGACAGAAGAAGATGGAGATTCTTGTGGCTATGGCTGGTTACAGGACATGACTGGTTATATGATACCTTTAGGTACAATCAGCTTGTGCATAGAGGCTGGAGGAAGTGTGTGTGAGAGAGAGAGAGAGAGAGAGAGGCCCATACTTCAAGAGTCTCGTTGAAAACAGGGGTCAGAGTCTTCCTCTGCACTCCGGTCTTCCTCTTGGAGCTCTTGCTGTGGTCGGGAAGGAGGTAGGTCTTGACGTAGGGATCTGAGAATCCGTTGCTGTCGGCAGCCGCCAGATCTCGGGCTCTGTTCACGTGGATGTGCAGCTTCTCTGACTGGTGGACGAAGCCCAGCTGGATGTCCCCCGATATCTCGTAGTCTCCCTTTCCTACTTCTCCGTCGCTGAGGCCGGCACTGTGGAGACTGGTTGAGCTGGTTGAATGCTGTGTTGCATGGGTGTGTGTGTGTGTGGGAGGGAAAGACATATTGTGAAAAGACTCAGCTATATCTACAGTGGAACCCTTCCACTCTAGACGCTATAAAGTGGGACAGAAGAAACTGCCCATATACAAGTGGGGTGCCTTTCAAGCATTAAAATAGCATGCAAGAACTGTTTTTGGTGAAAGAAAAGGTGTCCTTACTAGCGAGATGTCCTCATTTCAGGGTTTAAATAGAAAGGGTGTTCTGAGTAGAGAGGTGTCCTCATTTCAGAGGGGTTCTCCTGTATATATATTATACACTCACCGAAAATGGAGTCGATGTAGTGGGTCTACCTGCCTCCTCATCTCCCATTGGTTCGGAGGTTACCAGGAGCTGGGGAATGGGGGAAGGGGAATGGGACTGAGTCTGCAGGGGTTTCTCTGAACGGGCCTGTGGAAGAACAGGCGAGCTGGAACCACTCCTCAGTCGGAGATATTTTTCTTCTTCTTCTTCTAGAGGTGGACTGAGTCGCTCTTGCACGGGGCTCAACTCGCGACTCCGTGGTTTCTCCGGCAGCGACGTGATTGGTCGATCCATCCGCGGCCTCAAAGTGTGCCACTGCTCGACCCACTCCCCGGGGCGGGACAGGACCGTCTGCCAATGGGACAGCTCCTCCCCGAACGAGTCCATCCAATCGGGACCCTGACTGGGCGACCCGCCGCGTGCCGGGCCGATGCGCAATCCTCCGATGAAATCGTTGCTGCCCCGTTTGTCGAAATCCCAGATGGTAACTTCTAGAACTCTCTCTCCGGCGAGTTCCTTCTCGGAGGTCTTGTAGACAAACTCCTCGTCCCAAACTGGACACAGGCTGTTCATTACCACCTGACAGCAAAAGAGAGTGAATACGGCTGATGAATCGTGGCAAAATTCGACAATCTCACGTGACTTTTTGTATTCTTAAAGGAGTCGTGTCTCAACAACAACTTGGTAACGAGGTAGAAAGGTATAAGGCAAGGCAAACAAGTTTAATTTATACCGAAAGCGTGCGTCATCCATTCTAAACTGTAGAGTTGGTAATCTTCGTACGTATATACAACCTCCCATACCACTTGGGAGCCATTAAAGTAATCCTCCTGTTCATGTGAATTTTGGGAAAATCACATTATGAAATGGGTTTTTTCCCCAACTTACACACCGCAACACTCAAACGTAGCAATAAAATGTTGCTTGAAACGTTGCTTTGGAGCTATTCACAACAAGTTGTATGTTATCTTATAGAGTACAAACATACTTGAGTCTTTCTCTTGTTGGATGAGGTGCGACTGGGCAGTAGGTAGCACTTGACAACGGCATTAGTCAGTCCGCCCGGGTCAGTTTTAGGCAGGTCTTCTGCCCTCTTGATCGCCACGTGGAGGACACCCTTTCTACGAGGGGGTTTTCGATTTTTCCCGGGAGGTGGAGGGGGGCGTGGCGGCTCTTCGTTTAATTGGAACATGAGACCCAGTAAAAGGCGACCTTTGTACTGACGCTCCATCTCCAGTTGAGCTGACTCGTCCTGTGGTCATGTGACAGTCATGTGAAGTGAGAGTGATCATGTGAACTTGGGCATGCTATGTATACAGTGGAACATACACGTCTAAATGAGGACACCTCTCCAATAAGGACACTTTTGTTTTCCGCAAGAACAGTTCAACCCTGAAATAAGGACACCTCAATAATAATGGACACTTTCTTCTGTCCATTTGTGTCCATACTAGAGGGGTTCCACTGTACATAATGTAATCTTGTCTTTAGGATTATACATACGTTTTGTGTGGAAGATCATGTGACAGATCATGTGAGAGATCATGTGATACCTGGTCCAGGAGGGTGTGCCAGTGGTCGGTGCTATCAGTGAGGTCCAATGAAGCCAGGGGCAGTCTCACCTCACCCAGGAACTGATTCCGACCAAATCTGTCCCAGTCCCAAACACTCAGCCACACAGTCCGAGACGACAACTCCGACTCTGACAGCTTGTACTGCAAGAGTAAGAATACATACTTCAAATTTATAAACTTTTTAAACTTTAAATTTTAGCACTGCAGCATGACACTATTATGAAGAGGCCACTACACCAGTCCTATAGATACACTTCAATATTCTCTCCTATTAGAGGGGTTGTCTTACAGAAGGGAGAATAGAAAAGAGCACGTCTGAAAAAGGTGTGAATCTCATTACAACAGAGGCTCATACGTAGTATGTGAGTACAGTATTAGTGAGTGAGTGAGTACATCATTCCCCTCGTCCTAATATGGACCTTGAATGTTTCATCGTAGCGTGGGCTGACAGTCCTTCTCATAAACCCGGTCTTCCTCTTGGTGTGCTTGGTGCGATCCGGCAAGAGATACACCTTCACGTAGGGATACGAATACCCTTCCTTTCTCGCCGCTGCCAGATCCCGAGCCTGTTCGACGTGTACCTTCAACAGCCCGTCTCTCGAGTACCACACACCGAATCGGACTTCGCCGGAAATTGCGTAATCTCCCTTTCCTCCGATGGCAGAGTACATGCTAGACAGGCTCCCCATACTCTCAGAGTGTTTGATCTTCGAGAGCCCCGGAACTTCTAGAACGTTTCTCTCGTCTTCTTCGTCGCTGTCGGAGTACTCGCTAGGGGAGACTCGGCGAGCTGGTGCGAGGGACGTCGGACGCTCGCGGTGCCCCAGGCTACTCGTGTTGCTTCGCATGCTCATTGCGCTGTCGCTGCGACCGCTGGCCGTGCCTTGTTGTTGTTGATCGGTGTTGGTGTAGCGAACAATGATGGACGATTCGTTTGTTCCGCTGCGAGGTTTGTTGTTGGAATCGGCGGAGCCAGAGCGAGAAAGACTCGTGTTTAGGTTTTTTCTCGCTTTTCCGTTGTACGGGTTGACTTTAGAGGGCTCTGACAGGAGTAAGGGGGGGAGAGAAGAAGAGGAGAGAAGAGAGAGGGAGATAAAGGGGTGGAGAAAGAGAGAGAGAGAGAGAGAGAGAGAGAGAGGAAAGAGAGAGAGAGAGAGGAGAGAGAGAGGAAGAGAGAGAGGAAGAGAGGAAGAGGAAGAGGGAGAGAGAGAGAGAGAGAGAGCGAGAGGTGGGAGGAAGAGGGGAGGGAGTGGGAGGGAGAAAAGAGAAGTAATTGAATAATGCGTTGCTATTTAATTCCACATTCCTACTTGTTTTGATTGAAAAGCATCCTGTATAATGAAGTATATACAAATCAAGGAAGTAATACAATCCCCGCAGACCAAGAATCTCCACACACACACACACACACATATTTTGCAATCACTATGCATGCATGCATGGTTAGTGAGGCGATTCACGTCTACAAACAACAATATCTGCATATATACCCGGCTGTGTACGTATCATCTTTCCACCATGCAGGAAGGCATTTGGGGGGTTTGCCCTTGTATTGTCTTGTATGGTCTTCAGCCCTGCCTGCTGAGCTGCCCTGGTATCTCATCAGTAGGTAGGGGGCATTCTGCCTAGAAAGCAGTGTCTTGGGTTTGCATGGGTTTTAAAGGGAACGTGTAAGTACATGAGGGCTAAATTTGGAAACGTTACTAAAGATAGAACGAAACAATAGGCCCCAGTGTAAGAAAGTTTCAACAGCTTCTAAATTTAGCCCTTAAATACTGCCACATTGCCTTTTAATAAAGTCCCACCCAGGGCGGCTATTTTTCTAAAGCGTGTTGTCTTGTGTGTCGTTGTTGTATTGCCATGCAACATACTAACCAGCGGTCTGGACGACCTCTAGTGACATCATCACCAATTGACTCCCAAATAAGGGAGACGGGGAGAAATCTGCCGTCGGAAGAGACACATAGTGTGCAGCTTGTATGTCTAGCAACCTGCGATGGAGGGAGGGGACGTGAGGATCAGGAAATATGAACACAAGGAAATAGCTTGGAATTTGCACTCCACTCTAATTAGATATTTGGTGGATACAATGACAGTGGATGCTTAACATTATTTCTGCAGTAAGCTATTTGAAGGTGCAGATCATCCATTATATATAGACACAATTACTGCGAACCTTAACACCCTGTAACTGTAAACATGGCCGGAGTCCAATACCGGAGTTCCAATACCGGAGTTCCAGTACCTTACGTCACATTACGAGAAACCCACCACTGTTTGCTCATTCTTAGTCCAATACTATTCCAGGAAGTTCCAACAGGAAATCCCCACTGATTTAAGTGCACCGACCTAGTGAACTTCCTCTTAGCTGGCAGATGAGGCCACCTCTCTAATACGGACACCTTTTCTTTTCCCAAGAACAGTTCTTGCATTGCTCAACCCCTGATAAAAGGACACCTCACTGACATGGACACTTTCTTCTGACCAATTGGTGTCTGGATTAGAGGGGTTCCACTGTATAACAAGGCAGAATATACTTGGCACCTCCAGCACCAATATTATGGGGAGGGTTGTGCATTATTGCATCATCAGAATCACTTAAGCTGTGTTCCCCCCATGCAAAATGTGAGAACGAATGAAAGTGCATTCTTGGCAAGTCAAGTGCATAGCGATGGCACAAACTTGACATGTGAACCGGTTTAGATGATTTTTGCAATGTCTATGTAAATGATACGTGATACTAAGGGTGCTAGTCTCATATTATAATATTGGTAACAAATTTGTTTAGCAATTTGAATTTAAGTGGACACGAGTGATTTGTTGCATGCATAAGCTTTACTATAATGTATGTGTGTGTGAGCAAAACAAAGGTTGAGACAGGACAGCATGAGCCCTGTAAGGGCTCATGCTGTCCTGTCTGGGCACTGCAATATATTTGTTGGATATCCCTAGCAACCGACATGTATGAACCCACCTTACATCACACAGGATAGTATATGCTCATAAAACTCCCCAGCACCTAGCTTCATACATGTCGGTTGCTTAGGGATATCCCATACATTCAAAGATGACCAAAGCTTATGCAACAAAGTTGCATAACACACGCTGAAGTTGCATATTTTGGCCATTACGCAACAAAGTTGTTCCGTGCATCTTGTGGTATATAATAATTACATGTGTATACATACCTCTTTCTGGCGCATACGGGCAGACAAAGGGTGGAGGAGGATTCTGAGAGAGAATGCGGCATCTCTTGCAGACTCGGTAGAAACAGTTTGGGCAGGGAGCACCGGTGTTGAACAGTCTACCCAGCCTCTGTTCACAGCACGTGCATTGGGGCTTGTCGAGCAGCTTCTTCTGAAAATAGCGCTCTTTTTCCAGCTCCTGGCGTAGGGTACTGGAGACAGGTATGTAGGGGGGAGGGAGAGAAGGGGGAGAAAGAATAGGAAGGAGAGAGGGAGGGAAAGAGGGAAAGAAATAGGAGATGGAGGAAGGGAGGGAGCGAGAAGGAAATAACACCAGAGAGAGAGAGAGCATATTATGTACTACAAAACCCCAGAGGTTTATAGGATTAAAAACGGCACACACATAAATTCTTGACCCAAAAAAATGCATTCCATTTCGCATTCAGTTTGCCAAGTAGTACACTCAGTCACATACAGAAAATGCAACCCCAATCAACCTGCCCTGGCCTAGGTAGCGCTGTTCATCATTGTCTAGCAACACAATTCACCTACCGCACTCCCATATATAGTTTTTGCCTTATATCGATGTACATCGTTGTAAGGGAACAACACACGAGCAAGACAGGCGGTGTAGAACCCACACGACGATAGGCGGTGGGTTACTAGCTTACTAAGTGAAGGAGCCACTCACTGAGCGTACATACACTACATAAGAGTTACAGACTCACCCAACACGAACACGGTCCTGAACGAGCATGTTTTCGTCGGCTCTCACGACGGCCTCCAGCTTGGCGCGCTCCTCACCCGTCAGGAAACTGAGGTCCAGCAGCAACGGCTGCTTTCTTAACGCGACTGCCTTAGCCATACTTTTGTTCTAGACTCCGTAAAATTTCTCTCTTTCGGTCTTCTCTGCATCTGCATGCATGGGTGCACTTACGCCGCCGCGCCTTTATACGGACAGGAACCGGATGTCATTTCAAAACAGGAAGTCGTTTTGTAATAAATTATGTGGCGTGGTAAACAATTACGCATGCGTAGAAGTTAAGCTCGACAAAGAAGGCGCGCGAAAACAAAATGGCGGTTCTGCAGCCGAGCTCCAGATACAACGTGGCGGTCGTCTCTGAGAAAGCAGGGTTCTCCGGGCCCTGGGGTCGAATTAGAAGGAGCTCAAAGACCTCTCTACTTGACCTGGGTCCTCCGCTCCGCGTGCTAGTAGGCGAAGAGGCGGAGGAGGACGAAGGAACAAGTATCCAGTGTTTCACAGAACCGCAACGGTCACCATTGGCCAAGTCTCGCCCGAAGAACGCACAGAATGGAAGAGGCGAAGAAGGTTCTGCTGGTAAGATGAAGAGGAACACGTCTGTGCCAGACCTGCACTCGGATATCTCACATCAGAGAAAGATGCGTCCCCGATCAGTTGTTCCACAATTGAACCCTCTTCTGGTAGCTGATGTTACTAGTTCACGGCCTCCTGCCACTCACCATCCTCCCCCTCTCCCTCCTTCCACATCTCACCATGCTCCCACATCACACCATTCTCACTCGCAAGCGAGTTCTGTGGAGCATTCCCAGCAGGATCTCCCCTCTTCCCAACCTCACCTCCCCGCTCCCCAACCTCCCGCAACTCACCCTCTTCCCACATCTCACCACCCTCCTCCTCCTCCATACTCATCAGCAGTTACAAACCAAATTCACCCTCCCGCCTTCTTTCGACCGCCCAAGAAGGAAGAAATGATCGTGATGGAGGAGAGGAAATATCTGAAACTCGGCCTTCTTGGTAGAGGCGGATCAAGCAAGGTATATATAAGTAATTCTTGTAGTGAGTAACATTGCACATTTTTGGCGTGTGAACACTAAAAGTAGGTTTATATATATGTGATGCTTGCACGAGCATGTTTCCAAAAGTGTGCCGCTGTTGTCAAATGCGGTGCAATTCACCCACACAACTAGAACTGGGCTCGCTTTACTTGGAAGAATTTTTGTGCAAACCATTCGCGAGTTGAAATCACTTTAACCTGATTTGCCACCAATTTCCCTCCTCAAAGACCCCTACTTTTCCCAATTTCCCCCCCCAAGGTGTTTAAAGTGGTCAACGAAGATTTCGAGATTTTTGCGCTGAAAGAAGTGTACCTCAAACACCTGGACGAGGCCGTCAAGAGAGCGTACGCGACCGAGATGAACTTTCTGAAACTGCTGAGGAATGTTCCGGAAGTTGCCACTCTCCATTCCCGGTAAGACAACATTTATCTTGTAAAATAAGCCGCGTTGAACGAGTAGCTTACACCGAAAAAGTATTTTCATATTACACAGCTGCTAAAAACAGTGACATGCGGGTGTATACAGTTCGAACTGATCACAATGAGGATACACGTGGTTTAAATGCACACGGAAAGCTGAATATTAGTTATAGGGTATTATATAAGACATGAACCTAATATAGTTTCATGATGTTTAAGTATTAGCATGGGGTTGAAACAAGTGTCCTTTGTAGAGAGGTCGTCCCTATCTCGGAGGTCAAATAATACACTAAAGGTAGTAGCATGGGGTTGAACAAGTGTCCTTGTAGAGAGGTTGTCCCTATCTCGGAGGTCAAATAATACACTAAGTATTAGCATGGGGTTGAAACAAGTGTCCTTTGTAGAGAGGTTGTCCCTATCTCGGAGGTCAAATAATACACTAAAGTATTAGCATGGGGTTGAAACAAGTGTCCTTTGTAGAGAGGTTGTCCCTATCTCGGAGGTCAAATATACACCAAGTATTAGCATGGGATTGAAACAAGTATCCTTTGTAGAGAGGTCGTCCCTATCTCGGAGGTCAAATAATACACCAAGTATTAGCATGGGGTTGTAACAAGTGCCCTTTGTAGAGAGGTTGTCCCTATCTCGGAGGTCAAATAATACACCAAGTATTAGCATGGGGTTGAAACAAGTGTCCTTTGTAGAGAGGTCGTCCCTATCTCGGAGGTCAAATAATACACCAAGTATTAGCATGGGGTTGAAACAAGTATCCTTTGTAGAGAGGTCGTCCCTATCTCGGAGGTCAAATAATACACAAGTATTAGCATGGGTTGAAACAGTGTCCTTTGTAGAGAGGTTGGTCCTATCTCGGAGGTCAAATAATACACTACAAAAAAAAAAAAGAACAAAAGACAAAACAAGACCAGCCGGCACAAACGCAAGACACCTTACTCGCGGCGCGGTTACCGCCAAGGAAGCTCCACGGGGCCCAACAACCCAACCGCCCCACAAGGCCCGATACGGCCTCCCGGGTCCTCTCCGTTCTGGGCGGTCCTCTCACGTGCCGAGTGACGGTTAGCCCTTACGGCCGCAAATTGGTCAGAGCAACACCGGGGTGCCGTGTCGTGTCACCGTGCGGAGGGTCGCCCCCCTATACTTTTTGTCCGTGGGCCGACTCGTTGGGGTCCTTGGTGATTCCAGACACGCGCGACTCCGCATGAGCCGAAGTATCTGGGACTGGCTTTCGACGGTCTCGGGGGGGTCTCTCTCGCGTGAGCACTGCCGTCCTCCGTTGTCTTCTACATTTGCCCCCGCCCTCTGTCGGGATGATGTTAAGCCGCTTGTGTGTGCGGACTGGTGGAGTCAGCGCCACGAGCGGTCGGAGACGCGGAGCCCGAACGCTGTTCGGTTGGCAACATACTGACAGGCTGCGGATGCTCTTCCGCGCTGTTTGGGTTTGATGGGTGGGCGTGATTCCGTGGCTAGGCAAACGTCAATGTCCGCCTTAGGGTAAAGTATTAGCATGGGGTTGAAACAAGTGTCCTTTGTAGAGAGGTCGTCCCTATCTCGGAGGTCAAATAATACACCAAGTATTAGCATGGGGTTGTAACAAGTGCCCTTTGTAGAGAGGTTGTCCCTATCTCGGAGGTCAAATAATACACCAAGTATTAGCATGGGGTTGAAACAAGTGTCCTTTGTAGAGAGGTTGTCCCTATCTCGGAGGGTCCCTATCTCGGAGGTTCCACTACATTATCCACTGCAGTAGCTGGGATAAGGAGGAGGGAGTTCTCTCCCTACTGCTGGAGTACGGAGAGACTGACCTGGCAGCCATCATCAGAGACATTGGACCTTCTCTCCCAACAGCTTCTTACTTCTGGGGCCACATGTTGAGAATACTGAAGGTGACTATATACAAGCTCAGTAGGATGCAATATTTATTTGCGGGGTGCAAATTTTAGGTTTTGCGGGTTTTTGAATGTGATAATAATTTGCACTGCACGAACACGACGCGTAGGTTTACTGCAATCTGGAACGAGGACGGAAAATTAGTTATAGATTTGGAATCTCATGCTATAGTTCATCTTAGTCAATCTTAGAATATTGACACATGTGTAGTAGCTGTACTTATGTTTTAGCATCGAAACTGTTTTATAATAAGTCGGTCAAATTGTACAATTTCATCACCTCTAGATCATCCACGGCCATGACATAATTCACAACGACCTGAAGCCGGATAACTTCATATGTGTCCGTGGTCGACTGAAACTGATTGATTTCGGGATAGCCAATCGGATCGAAGACGAGCACACCAGTGTCCACCGAGACCTGTGCTGTGGCACCATCAGCTACATGTCACCAGAGACAATTGAGACTTCCGAAGACAACACGTTCTTCAAGGTTAGTGCCCAGACCCACTCTCTTCGTCTTTGTGCTTCTTTGCTCTATGTAGTAGTCTCTGTAGATTTCTTCTGTCCACAAGAACTTGTGACAAACACTAAGTTTTATTTCCTGGGAGATTTTTTATTTTTATGAAAGTCCCACCCAGGGCAGCTCTTTTTAAGTGTGTTCAAAAACACTATGCGGCAACAAACTTTCACTCGTTAATTTTTGGTTGCATTATTTTGTGCACAAAGGTATATTCTATACATGCAGTTTAATATTCACTAATAGCCTTGTGCTATATTATAAACCAAATTCTCTCATATTATGTATGTATGTATGTATTATAGGTGGGGAAACCAAGTGATGTGTGGTCTCTGGGCTGCATTCTGTACCAGATGATATACGGCCACACCCCCTTCGAGCGTCTCAAGAAGCTACAGAGGATCCAGGCAATCACTGATCCCAGACTCGAGATATCCTTCCCAGATGTCGGACTCCCTGCTGCTCTTGACATTATGAAGGTATGTATGCTACAGTCGTGTTGTGCTATATATAGAGGCACTCTGACTGGCTGTACAAAATTAATGTTAAGAACCAGTTTTTTCCTAATGTCCCAGAATGGTACATGTACATATGACACATCAGATTTTTGGGAGAATTGTTTCGAATAAATGAAGACATCGATTCATCACACGTTTGAAATTTAAGCTCTATTGTAGATTGAACATTGTTCAGTAATTGAGTTCCCTCGTCCTAATTCTGTTTTCCTTCCCCTCCCTCTTTTGATCTCTCTCTCTCTCTCTCTCTCTCTCTCTCTCTCACCCTTTCCCCCCTCAGAAATGCCTGACAAGGAGCCCTAAAAAGAGGCCGACAGTTGAAGAACTGCTCCTCCACCCGTACACTCTAGGTCTAGGTCACTTGTAACACACAACCCATCCACCTTCGTTCACCAGGCAAATACTTATATCACTGAGATTTTCAAATACTCTGAGAATTGAATCACCTCATTTTTGTCTGCCCTTGCCCAACACCTGACTCATAACCGTCAATATTTCGACTTCTACAATTTGTAGATACGTCCAATGCCAATCTGTTGTAATAATAATACCCACAGTGCCTCCAATTTTATTCTGCAACCATCATAACTTATGATCGATTCATTCATGTTGATGCAGCTGAGTTTGCATATATACAAATTGAAAAAAACCATTTTTTTTTTGAGTCTGACTCTGAGCCCTGAAATGCTGTGTGCATATTCCAGTTGTTGTGTTGAATATTCAGTCCATTGGGTAGCGGTCTCTTAGCCATGGTTTTGGAACGTAGCGACCGTTCTGGAACCGCTCGAAAAATTCCGACACCTCCGGACAACGTAGCTGTGAGTTTCGGGAGGAAATCATATCAAATCCCTTTTTGTTTCCGCCCATTGCTCTGGGTGCGTGGTCTATGGCCCTAGTGCTATGGCAGCCACCTGAGTATTATTACACTTGGCAGCTCTAATTTGAGGAACTGTAATTTTAAGGATTATGTTGTAGACAGCTGTGTATAATTATATAAGATTGAGGGGTTCACCTGTTGTAGGGCGCCAAATTCGAGATCTTCTTGGGGAACGTAGTAATAGGGGGTCCCCGAGGCAATGTACTTAGAGTCTACTAGAACAAGGTAGTGAGTCGTTAGCTCAACCCCCTGAAGAGAGAGGGGAGAGGGAGAGGAGGCGAGAGTGCGTGTATACAGATGTTACTCAGGCAGAGGAGGCATGGTTTTATCAAACCTTCCTGTTTCCATAGTAATGCCTGATCCACTTGTCTGGAGCCTGTGTGGATGCAAAGATGGACATTAGTAACCCTACCGTCTTTCTCTCTTCACAATTCTCAGCCCTCCAATTTTTCTCCCTTTCTCTCCTCATTTTTTCTCCCCCCGCCCCCTCTCTATATAATTATCTTTTTTGCCTACCTTGGCCACCTCGTCCCAGCCAATAACGACTCCCTCGTAATTTGCAGTCTTGTGCCGAACAATCCGACCCACAGAGAACTTCACACTCAGATCTCTCGGTTTCTTCGACTGTCCAAAGTATACCTCATTCATCAGGTATTCATCCACCTCCTTAGCACGAGACACCTCTTCGATCACCTGCGATTTACTGTCACTCTCTTCCGTTTTCGTACTAGTCTTCATTTTCGATCCAGTTTGAACCTTTTCTGTTTCCGTATTTGGCGAATTCTGTTGTGAACCGCTTTTCGACTTGTGAAATTGTTGCTTCACTATGGCTTCTCTCTGAGTCCCCGAGTTTGAACCCATCTTACCTAGTAATGTCAGTTGTTGATTACGGTTTACAGATTAGCTACTCTTTCAGTTTCGTATTAGTGGGTGTTACAGTGGAGACCCCTCTAATCTGGACAGCAATTGGACGGAAGATAGTGTCCCCATCAGCGAGGTGTCCGTTTTTTAGGGGTTTAATAGCATGCAAGAACTACTATTCTTGGCGAAAAAGGTGTCCTTAATTAGAGAGGTGTCCTCATTTCAGAGAGAGGGTTCTACCAATAATTACTACCTGCTTGAGTGGAAACACTGCTTCTGGTACTGCTGCTTGTCTTAGAAGCACTAGTGCTACCAGCCGTGGCAGATGCAGAGGTCGATCTTTTCTTCTTTGTCTTCGTATCGTCCATGCTGGAAATGAGGATGGTGGTCGTTCCGGCCTTTGACTTGAAGACGGTGCTCTTGAGGTTGGTTCGCGGTGTTTTGCGGTACGGAACCAGGACCAGCTCCTTGAGGTGGTTCCACGTGGAGTAGTACATTATGGTCGAGTGGACGGTGTCAAATAAGGACTCAGCTGTGTCCATCAGCCTTCAGGTGATGGTGTTATACAATTTGGAAAAATTTGTGAAACATCTGAATACAATAACAAATATGGGAGTAATTGGGACTTCACAGTGAAACTGAAAGGATATGTTTGAGACACGAAAAGTGTCCTTAGGTAAATGCATTAGTATGGGGGCAGAACAAATTTACATCATTTTCTTTATAGAGAAGAGTCTGTAGACTGTAGCTAATGTCTACGACCACAATAAATTGAAAGGTAAAATAACCATAAAAAGAGAGAGAGTTGTTCTGTTGATGAACTCACTGTTCAACTGCCTCGGCCCTTGGTCCCGTGACGTCTCCACTGTTGTCCCCCTGCTCCACGGAGGGTGAGGAGGAGAGGGAGGAGGAGAGGAGGAGCTGGAGAGGAACCGACAGCAGGAGGACCAGCAACACCACCGCCGCGTTCATACCTACAATACACATTTTCACCGTGTATGGGATACATGCTTGCACAAGGCCTTCATGCGCAACTTGCGATCTTGTTTCTAACCTATTCTGACTGGCTGCATGTCCTTGTCCCTTCGCACAATGAACTCTCTAAACTCCGCCCAATTCTTTTGTAAGCCACGCCTACTAATCCGCGAGTGCGCTTTAATTGGAACAAATGCCACGTTTGCACTTTTTCTGTAGCGAGCAGGACGACGGGGATATGGGGAAAAACAAGAAGAAAAGCGGCGGAGGAGGGAAGAACAAGCAGAAGAAGGGAGCGGGAGGAGGCGGCGTGGAGAACAAGAAGAATTCCCCCGCAGTCAGGAAGAAAGCAATCAGCGGTCCCCACCCTCGTTTCGGTGAGCGAACGCTGACTTATTATATCTCAACTACTCGCTGCATTTCCATTCCATAGGGGCTCATGAATCTTGGAAATACCTGCTTCTTCAACTCTGTCATGCAAGTGAGATTACAACTATATACCTGGGCAACAAAACCATGGAGCACACACACCCTTGTTTTTGTTTTGCTTCTCTCTCCCTCTCTCCTCCCTCTCTCTCCTCTCCTACCTCTCTCCGCCTCCCTCTCTCCGCTCCCTCCCTCTCTCCTCCCTCACTCAGAGTATTGGACAGACAGACTACCTAAGGCATCGTCTGAATGCTCTGGTCGAAGGTCTTCAACAGCAAATACTGACACTACAAGTGGAACAGCAACAGGTACATATGTAACATTATGCACATACACAACATAGCTGTTTATTTTTAACCCCCAAGAACTGTTATTGCATGCTATTTAACCCTTGAGATAAACACCTCACTAATATGGGCACCTTCTTCTGCCCCATCGCCATTGCAGCTGGACGTGGCGGTGACAGGCAAACCTGGTCAACTAACAAAGACCCTCCACGCCTTCATGAAGGACATAGCCACACCCACTGGTCGAACCCTGAACCCTCGACCGATCTTCTCCCAGATCTGTGAAAGGTGAGTCGCTTCTTGTGTTCCCTTATAAGGAACGTGTCTGAAAAATGAAAACGTCCCACTAAACAACTTGTCCTGATACCTGCAGGGCACCACGTTTCCGTAGTTACCAGCAGCAGGACAGTCAGGAGCTCCTCCGCTATCTCTGGACTCCCTCAAAAATGAGGAAATACAAGTACGTTAGGAACATGTCCTGAAATTCATGTCCTAAAACTTGTCCTGAAGTCCATGTCCTAAAAGCTTGTCCTGAAGTTAATGCTTGTCCTTCCCCTAAACATGTGTGTTGAAGTTAAAACTTGTCCTAAAAAAGTAATCCGCCTGAACACTTGTCCTGAAGTCCATGTCCTGAAAGCTTGTCCTGAAGTTAATGCTTGTCCTTCCCCTAAACATGTGTTGCAGTTAAAACTTGTCCTAATAAAGTAATCCGCCTGAACACTTGTCCTGAAGTTGACGTCCTAAATCTCTGTCCTGAAGTTAGCGTCCTACTAAAACTTGTCCTAAACATCAACTCTGTAGTCTGTGTTGCAATTCTTCAGAGGATGAGGCGTGGGATTCTGGCGGTGTTCAAAGTCAGCAGTGGGAAGAAGGCAGCTCTCAGCCACTTGTCTCAGAGTGACAAAGACACCATCAAAAGTTAGTGAAGCCTTTTTATATAATATACATGAATTAGGTGTACGGATGAGGCCACAGTTATACATGTACACATGGTGTGTTTTGTAAAGAAACAAAGCCATGTTACTTCATTTTAAGACTAAGTTTTGAGTCACGAAATTATGTTATCAGAAAAACAGGTTATGAATGTGGGTTACGAGGTTAAGAACAATGGAAAATGCTGACCAGCAGATTTTGTGACTCAAAATTTTCTATTTTAACGTCTTAAATTGAAGAACCAGCCAAACAAAGTTTAGGTTTTGGCATGACCAGTTTTGTGCTCTGGAAACAAGTGTGAACCCTATATAGATTCTGTAGCGTGTGTTGTGTGAGTGGCTATAGTATTATTGTTTGATATCTGTCCACAGAGTTTGGTAATGCAGTGTACAGAGAGCCAACGTATGTGGACGAGGTGTTTGGAGGGGTTCTCGTCAGTACTATCAGTTGCGCTGAGTGCCGCAATGTACGTGGGACACAATGCTAGTATCATATGTACATGTGTACTTAGTTCAAAGGGACACACTGATGCTACAGTATATAGTGTCATATGTATGTGTACTTGTTGGATATCCCTAAGCAACCGACATGTATGAAGCTAGGTGCTGGGGAGTTTTATGAGCATACACTATCCTGTGTGATGTAAGGTGGGTTCATACATGTCAGTTGCTAGGGATATCCAACAAATCGGTTGCAGTACCCAGACAGGACAGCATTCGCCATTACAGGGCTCATGCTGTCCTATTTGGGCACTGCAACATAATACTTGTTCAAAGGGACACACTGATACATTAATGCTTGTATTTTGCTTGTATTTTGCTTGTATTATGCTTGTATTCTTGTATACTCAGTTCATGAACCTGTGTAGTTTAAATGCTGTACATTATGTAAAGCTCTAACACACACACACTCTCTCTCTTCCATTTTAGTGCTCCACCATACATGAAAACTACCTCGATCTCTCTCTTCCTGTACCAAGAGATGAGGTAAAATTCTCAGCGAGTGAAATGCGAGCAGTGTGTAGAATGTCACATTTTGCCTCATTTTCGTGTGATCACCTTAACACTGTGTGAGGTTAAGTAGGAGAGCGTTTGAACAAAACGCACAAATTATTAACGTATCATTGTGCATGTGCACCACCTGCCACTTTCTCTCTCAAGACTAGTAGAGGAGGAGAGGGTAGCCATTGGTCCAGAGGTCACAGACAAGGAAAGGCTCAGAAATCGTCAGAGCAGCCCGTTGAGGCAGACATCCACCAGAGAGATGTGGGGGTAAAGAGAGGAGAGGAAGTGGTGGAGGGCTCGAAGGCAGCTCCACCCTCCAAACATCAAATGAAGAAAGCCAAGAAAAAGGTATAAAAAGCGCGGCGCCATTGCGAAAGATTTTATTACTGCACATTGTAGCATATTCTGTAGGTTTAGTGGCTTAGGGTTTTTATGGTTTAAATTGCATTGATCGACTTCTTTTATTTCCACGTGTGTGTATTAATGCATAATCCATGTAGTCTATTCAGTCCAAATATTCAAACCCTTAATTTCTGCTGGTTTCTTTAATAATATAGACGAGGAAAGGAGGGAAAGTGAAGCAGTCTTTTCAAGACCTACAGAACATGTTGAATGAAGCGGACGAGAAGAGAGATGGAGGAGAAAGGGAGGGAGGGGAGAGAGGGGAGGGAGGAGATAGGGAGGGAGGGGAAATGGAGGGAGGAGAAATGGATGAAGGGGAGGGAGAGAAAAGAGAAGAGACAAAAGATGAAGGAGAGGTTGGTGAAGAGGGAGGGGGTGAGGGAGTAAGGAGTAAGGCACAGGAACCTACGGCTGATGAGGTAGAACCGGCTGAGACAAGCGAGGAACCAGAGAACGAAGGAGTTGATATTGGAAGTGAAACACCAGCTACGGAAGAGCTACAGGGCAATTTATGCAGTAATCCTGATACCACACCCCTTCCTCCAGCTATCAGTGAGTCAAACAAAGCTGTAGAAAACGCTACCCAACCCAACACAATGCCAGCTGTTCAAGATGATGAGCATAATAACGAGAGGGTCCAACTCGCACAGGCAGAAGAACAGTTTCCAGTGGAGAACGTGGATGCCGTGGAAACTACTGAAGATGCATCACCACGACAACCGGAAGAAGCAACAACTACTTCGAATGAGTATGCCTCGCAAACCACCGATGATGCATCGCCACGGCAACCGGAAGCCACACCTCCTTCAAGTGAGGATGCTAAAACTGCATCACCACCACAACCGGAAAAGGCCACACCACCTTCAAATACCCCAATCCCTTGTGAAGAAAACACGGCCACACCCACTAGAAACCGAACTTTGACCTCCGTGCAATTCAGGGAGGATTCCCTGGAGGGATGTCTGAAGAAGTTCTGTTCAGTCGAGATTCTGACTGGAGTCAATCAATTTTGCTGTGAGGTGTGCACCCGGCAAAGAGCCAGCGAGAAATCTGCAGCAGTCAGGGCACGTAGCGCTGCAAGGCCGTTGAGCAGAGCAAACAGCGAGACCACGCGAGAGAAATATTCAACAGGCGGATGAGTGCAGAGCGGGAGATTTGGAAATACGTGGCAAGGAACTATCAGCAGATTCAGAGCTAGCTCTTCTCCCGTTGGCTGAAGAGAGTAAAGCAATTTCGTCAGAATCAAGGCAAGAGGCAAACATCCGAGAGGGAAATTTGCAACTGGCGGAAGAGTCTCGAGCAAAAGATTCGCCGGGACGTGACAAGACTCCGGAACTGTCACCTGATTCAGAGCTAGCTGTTTCGGAGCTCATCGAGAGCGAGTGAAGAATTCATCGGAATTGATGGGAAAAGACGGGTCTCTGGTGACAGATTGCGAAAGATGCAGTAGGGCTCAGCAACCGGTAGATTCAGAGCAGGTCTCGGAGTTCACTGGAGAGCAAGTACAATTACCAGAATCGAGGGGAGAAGATTGTCAGGCAGAAATGGTGTGCAAATGTTCACAATCTACAGTCAGTGATTCATTGACTAGTTCTTGTACTAGTGTTAGTAGAGACGGTGCCTTGTGTAATGGGCGCACTGCTCAACCAGAAAGTTTAGAGTCAGGCGTTGTTAAGAAGACACCGGCTGAGGAGGAGGAGGGGGAGGAAAGGGAGGAGAAAGGGGAGGAGGGAGAGAAAGTTGATCTTTGTCAGGTGACTGAAGGGGAGGAGGGTGGAGTAAGGGGAAATGGCAAAGACACTCTGGGAGGTGGTTCTGGGGACAGAGGAGGTACAAGCAGGGAGACAGGGGACAATTCAAGGTCCTCCAGTCGTTTCGAGAGTACATCTGATTCTGAAAGTAAGTATGTGTTGGTATTGAAGGACAATCCATATTTCCCGTGGTATATGCATAAGTAAACAGCGAGTCTAGCATTTTGCTGACTGAGTTAAATAGTTTTCCTCTTTCGGTTGTAACGTAGGCGACACTGCAATGGATAGTACACCCGAGCTAACTCCGGAAAGGAAGGCGACCGATGAAGCTAAAGAGGAGCCAGTGTTCAGGGACGCCACGAAGCAGCTGCTCATCAAGAGTCTCCCGCCAGTTTTGACCCTGCACATGAAGAGGTTTCTGCAGGACGGTCGCCGACTGAGGAAGAACGGACGTCACATCGACTTCCCCTGAGATCCTCGACGTAGCTCCTTTCTGCAACCCCGACTGCAAGGTACACGTATACCATTCACCGCTGCCTTCTTCAGAGCAGGAACTGAATTACGTTAAATACCATAATATTAGGCGAAGGTTTTTTTGTATATACTATCCCATACCAATTCAGAGTACTGTTAACAAATCTGAGCTTACTCAAGCAAAATTCCATGTCTAAGTCTTGTAGAACTTGAGTTGTGCGATTCGAAGTGCCCATGTACAGCCCGTGTGCCATTTTTGTGTCTACAGCACTATCTCTCTCTCTCTTTCGCCTTCTTCTTCCTCTCTCCTTTCTCCCACCCTTCCCCCCTCAATCCCTGTAGGCTCCTCGAGACGATCTTGGAAGAACCCTGTACTGTCTGTACGCAGTAGTGGAGCATTCGGGAGGAATGCAGGGCGGCCACTACACCGCATACGTAAAAGTCAGAGATAGCCACGCCCATTTCACACCAGTGGGAGGGGCCAGCGATCAATTTGTCAGTCCTACTCGTCGTCAAGATGCAATGGTCGCGCCCGCTTCACCCACGATCGCTATGGCAACTGTCGGTGTTTGTACTGCAAATGCTACCACTGACGACGAAAGAAGTGCCATTAGTACCACAAATAGTACCACAACTGACCACCCGACAACCGACAACAACCACACTGAGCAGAAACAAGACCACGACACAGTCAATTGTAGTCTGAACAATACATCTACCAGTGAAGCCACTTTCGAACAATCGCATACCACAGAGGACCAAACAGGGACCACAAACGGTACCAAAACACAACCAAACGGTGCCAAAACACAGCCGAACCGGACAAGCGCCATTTTTGATGCGTCGTCCACCGATGGCCAATGGTACCACATTAGTGACACGCACGTTCGAACTGCCACCCAAACCGAGGTCCACAAATGCCAGGCGTACTTGCTGTTCTACGAGAGACTTCCATTATTCAACACTCCTGAGAATGTATAACAGTGTCTCCTGAATGTAGATGTGATTCAGCCGTGTCTCTACAACTGTACACAATGGTATCATCAAAACTGATTTGACCCTAGTTTATATAATACACGTTAAAAAAATATTTAAAAAAACTGAAGAAGGTTATCTGTGCCAGCGCTCACGTTTACTTTATGTGTAGGGTGTATGCATGACCTAGATAGAAAATGAGGCATTCTATATAAACTGAGCTATATTGGGGTGTGGAAATGAGGCATTATAGATACAAAATTGAGCTAGAGATGTGTATATATATACTGTCATTGTATAGGAGTCTATAAATGGCGGCTATTTTTCAGAAGAACAAAACTCTTTGAAATATTCTTTCTTCTTCTCCGGATCTGGCTTGATCTGTGAGGGAAGGAAACGGATATTTTCAGACACAGCGGTGGCCCCTCTAATTTGGACACATTAATGGGTCAGAACACATAAACGAGGTGTCCCTATATTTCAGGGGTTAAATCGGATTCAGGAACCCAGGGAAGAAAGAAAGGTGTCTCTGTTGATGAGGTGCCCTCGGGCCCTCATTTACAGGGGGGGGTGTCCTTATGTACAACGAAGCCCCTCATCTACAGGGGTATGTACAACTAAGTGCTTACTGTTTTTCCACCAGGCTTCCATCCTGCAGGGCACACTGTGGAAAAAAAAGAGAAAAGGGTACTCATCGTTTTTCCCCCCACTAGCGTTTAGCACAACGTCGAACTCTATACCTTCTCCGTGCTCTTCAGTATATTGGAAGGCCTGAACTAGACGCAGCGTTTCGTCCACAGAGCGGCCAACCTGATTGGTCGATTCAAAATTCAAACCATCACGTACACACACACACACACACGTGTGCGTTATCTTACGGGTAGGTCATTCATAGTGATCTGACGAAGGATCCCCTTCCTGTCTATTATAAACAGCCCCCTATAATTAGACAACACAATTAGAGGTTCAGAACGATCGTACTTCACGCCGCGCGTAACAAGTCAGATTTATATGCACTTCATTGACAGACACGTAGACCACTTAGCATGTACTATAGTCCCTCCCCGGCTTGTGGAATTACAAATATACAGTGCATTTCAAACCTCAGTGAAATGCCCTCGTCTTCGAGTAAGACCCCGTAATCCTTGGCAATCTGTTTGGTGAGATCCGACAGCAGTGGCATCTGTAGTCCGGCCAGGCCTCCGTCCTCTCTCGGTGTGTTGATCCAGGCGTAGTGGGTGTATTTGGAGTCCACCGAACAGGCAACAACCTCCGTGTCGATTGCACGGAACTCTTCGAGACGATCGTTGAACGCGAGGATTTCCGTCGGACACACAAATGTGCTGGTGATCAGTCGGGGCGAAGAAGATGTGTCGGGAGAATGATAGAGGAAAGGGGAGGGAGGTGGGGAAGGAGGTGAAGGGAGGGAGAGAAGGGGGATGGGGTAAAAGAGGGGGGAATCCAGGAAAGTACGGCAGAATGAAGATAGGCTTACAAGTCAAGAGGGTAGAAAAAGAAGACGAGGTACTTTCCTGAAAAAAAAAAGAAGACAAGTCTAACTCGTTTGCATCACTTCACAAGCGAAGGTTTTTCTGAGGGCTCTACCTTTGAAGTCAGTTAGTCTCAGCTCTCTAAACTCTCCACCGAGGACCGCGGTGCCGTTCCAGTCAGGAGCCGGCTTTCCGACTACACCGCAGACGGTGGAGGAAACCTGAGTACCCAAGAGTTAGGGCTTCGCAGCTTACTTTGTGTTTTGCTCCAGTGAAGGCCGTGTTCCACGGACGGCGGGCGGCCCTCCGGGTATATGAGGCCGCCGTAGACGAACTCGCACTGCTCGCCCGACTCGCACTCCGCCATTCCCGCCAGAAGAGCAGCCGCCAACAGGCCACTGAAGAGAACCAGCTGCCGGTGTCCTGCCATCTCTCGCCTCGTGGTGAACTTCGACCTCACGAGGTTATTTTCATGACCTTTTTGACCTCACGTGGGTCGCCTTGGCCCTAGCAAATTAGGATCGCTTGTTCTGAGGACTGTAAGGTGATACCGCTTCTGTATATGGCCCTAGCTTCATCTCTGTGTCCCATACGACAGTTAAAAAAGCCGGTAAGTATGCGCTTGCTGTACTGTGTGCCCAGTTTCATATGTAGCTGTGTTTTCCGCAGAGGTTCTCTGCGCTCGCTTCGTGCATTAGCTGCGCCAGTCCCTTCAGCCTATCTACTAGAAAGTACGATGTCTCACGTGATTCGGAAGAGCGGCAGCAGCTGGAGAGAGGGTCAAATATTACCTCGGGACCCTCTCTAAAGACATTTCCTTCTCATCTTCTCGCCCTTCTTCGAGAAGCGGGGAGAGGAGGAGGGAGGGAAGGAGTGGGCGGAGTGAGCCAGCATCAGTCGACTGCAGCTCGGACTGACCTTCTGAATTCCCTGGAGGCCACACAAAGCCAGCTGCTTTCTCCGGAGGTGAACGATAAAATTAATAACCGAATTCAGAAGTGGAAATATAAGGGAAAATTGCACTAGAAATAGGAACCGGGCCTTTTTATTTTGGTCCCTGTTTAGTGTATTGCCACATTTCCAACACATGTTGTGTTTTCCTTCGACCGCCAGAAAGCTGCCTCTGTTCTGTGCCAACACTATGAGGGAGTGAGAGGTGACGTGGAACGGAGACTGGCTCTGATTTCAGTACTGGCATCGGACCTGGCGGTGAACCACTCCTCAGTTCACCACTCGGCCTCACAACTCAGTCAGCTTACCACGAGGTAACCTGTATAATAATGCTGTCCATGAAACTGCATACTCTATGGTTCCACATTGGTCGCATGCTCCCCTGTTGTGTTTCGCTCTGGATTCTATCACGTTCTGATTCCGTCATACTCCTGTACCCCTATTCCACCCGATAGGGAAGGTCAGAGGTCACTCTCCTGAGGTCAGAGTCCAATCTGCGGCAGGTCCTGAGTCCGTTCTACCGTGACGTGTTCACGGAGATATCGCGACTGGAGCACGGGATTCAGTTCCTGGTGAACCTCCGTGCCGATATACTGGTCAGTTTGTCGTAGAATTAGGACACCATTTTTCAGGACGGTACGATATGCCCCCCCACCCCAAATGTCATTGTATATCTTTCAGGAGTTAAGCATGAATTTGGACCAAATTTGACGCATGTCGTGTGTTGTGTGTCTTGTGCAGGAGCATACAAAGGCTATCGGTGATCACTCGTCGTCGTACCTCCTGTCGGAGATGGCGGGTGACCTTCGCGACCTCTTGTCCCAGTGGTTCTCTCCCTCCCTCCTGGACATCCAGCAGCTCACCTGGGAAAGTCCCTGTGACATCATGGAGAAAGTTAGTGGGTGGGGCCTCGGTGTTCTGGTGGGAAAATGTTGTGATTTTGATGTGTGCTGAATGCTATTAAGATATTCTGCATTCCCCCTTGAAAAAATCAAGAAAATTAATTGCTGCAAAACTCCATTTGCTTGCTTGGAACAGAAGTACATTAGGCCCAAAAGATGAACTAGACAGTACGGCACAGTGATAGAATGCAGTTTTCTGTATATAGCAGTTCCTCAATTTAGCCCCTATAATTATACCCTTTAAAATGAACCCTCATTCTCTCTTCTCTTTTCTCCCTTCCCCACCATCTCTATCTATGTTCAAAAAGGTGAGTGAGTACGAGGCAGTCCATCGCCTCCGTCATTGGAAGGATCTCAAACATCGCGTCGGTCGCCATCGGCGATGTTTTGTCTTCACCCATCGGTCCCTCCCCCGAGAACCTCTAGTTATTCTTCACGTTGCCTTGACAACGGAACCCTCCTCAAACATTAAAGTTAACGAAATGAGCCAGATGAATAGTGTGTGTGTGTTAAGTGATTCATGATTACCTTCTTCACCACACTTATGGCAGCTGGGAAAATGTTGTATATATGAACATGCCCGCAGTACAAGCTTTGCCTTTAAAAGCAGGGACACTGCACGAAATAGCTGTTAGTTTGGGGTGATGCTTTTGCATCAAGAATGAACCATTTCGCTTTCTTGGAATCGGAGTTTAGCACTCTACCCCTGTTACAGGCTCTACTGAACCGGTCTGTTGAGAGAAATAGTGACTTCAGTGCTGTTACTACTGCCGTCTTCTACTCCGTATCTCCAACTCAGAGAGGTGTGGGTGTCATGTGACAATCATGCTCTGGTCATGTGACCCATTTTTAATCCTGCTGTTCTCTGTTTTAGGTCTCTCGGGGATCGACTTGGGGTATTACATCATCAGACGAGTTGTAGCCGAACTCCAGCGGGAGTTTCCGGGGCAACTCGCGACCTTTGTCACCCTGTCCCCGGTCCCCGGGTTCAGACGATGGTTGGAGTCGAGATTGCGGCAGTCGAGTCCTCTCTCAGTGGAGGGAGAGAGAGGAGGAGGAGGAGAGAGGGAGCTTCTCCAGCTGTTTCCTGAAGCTAGTGACCTCACTGAGGCACTGCAGGTTAAATGTATACCAGAAATAATTATAATATGGCATGTGTGCAGTTCGAGAGAAACAAATCCCGTATGTGCTATTTCCGCACATTTATCGTAGCCACCCAACAGCAATACAATTGGTACATTACGCTACAAAATGAAGCTTGTTTTCACAACTATGGGTGTGTCAACAAAACAAATGCACAAGTGGTGCAGCATTATTAATACTGCCTGCAGTTGGAAAATGGGACTACGTGTAAATTATAGTCCGAATACCTCATACGTATGTAGGCTCATTTCCATTGTCTTTCTCTAGCTGGCTCTATCACAGAGAGACTGGGCAGTGGATCGAAACGGAGCACTGGCAAATGCACTGAGATCTCCACTCCTCTCGCTCTGTGCAAGGTACAGCTCATACCTCCATACCTTGTTTTTACTCCCTTAACCATTCCTTGATACTACTTTTATTTGCCATAAATCCATGCCCTAAACTTTCATTCCCATTCCTGCTTGCCAAATCTGCACTCCAATCCACGAATCTAAATACACCACCTCATGTCAATGTTCCATTCTGCCATTCTCCCGTTCCCAATCCCCCATACCACCAGGTACCTGGTACGGGAGAAGCGACGCAGCAAGGCCCTCGACCCTGTGGCTCACTTTCACCTGAGTGGAGGGGCCAGTGTGTGGAGACTAAACTGGCTCGCTGACCCCAGTCCCCTCGGACTGCAAAACTCTTACGGAGTCATGTGCAACTACCGCTACCACCGTTTACCTCAGTTGAACGTTAACAGTGACCGGTATAGGGCGACTGGTAAGGTTACTGTCTCCGACGGCGTACAAGATCTTCTACAACAGCTAGACTGAGGAGGATCGCTTAGTATTTATATAGTACTATTGTACGTTGATGTATAGGGTTGTGATTGGGAATTTTGTTCATTCTTCCCGGCCGTAATTTTAACACGTTTGTTATTGTGACGCGCTGGGAGTACATGCACCGGAAAGTAAAAGAATTGCGAGATCAAAAAATGGTTTTTTCGCCCACGGAATTTGCATGTGTCATGTTTGCTCACATTTCAGAGGACATATATAATGTCCATATAAATATAATTATGCTTTTGCCTAGCTCTGTCTGGTGGGGTTGTTGGTCCGTCTGCGAGTGTGAACTGACACGGGGTGATAGTGGGGAGGGTGGGAGGAAGAGTGAGGACCGTGGGCCATTTCATGCTCTAAAAGGGTTAAAATCCACACAGATTACATAATGTATGAGTCAGAATATAGTTTGGAGGGGGTTAACTGAAGTAAAGACGTATGGAGAACACACATTATTCGCATACCTTTTAATCTCTGATTGATTTTCTGAAGGGACTGTATTAGTTGTTGCTCCTCATGTGATAATCCTGTGGCACCTACATAATATACATATTTTTGTTATTCAACATCGTAAGTCAAACATCAACTAGTTTATATACTACCTGGTTTTGTTTGTTTCGTGTGTTGTTGTTCCCATGACGATGTCTGCACAGTTACGTATGAAGGTTCTGATTGGACAGTGTCTGGGTGGGTCATGTCATGAGGCCAACGATGTAATTGTTTATCCGGCCCCGCCCACTTTTGGTGGGTGTGGCTCCGAGTGGTAGTGGGTTTTTGCTGGGGTCGATGCGGGAGATACCTGCCCCCTCCACCTCTACCCCCTGCTGCTGGGGGCTCAATTTTCGGGGGAACCGGGGGAAATTGGAAGACCTGGGGGGCCACTGGGACCCCACCTGTCCAGCTCTGTAGCTGACCCTGAATGTTGCCCCAGCCTCTATCAATCTCTTCGTCTGTTGGACCTGTCTCGATGGAGCGCACTCTCTCTCCACTCTCTCCTTTACTAGTTGCTACAAGTCCCTGCGTAGTAGCACTCTCGATGGATGAACCAATGCCCGTTCGCTGCCTCTGTGCCGAGCTGAAACTTGCCTGCGTGTGTTCTTTTCTTTCGTCTCTGCTCCCCGTGTTTTCCGTCTGCCTACTGCCACTCACGGACAAAGAAGGACGAGAAACTCTATCGTTTTCTCCTGGCAGAGTCTTTGCCTGAGGGACGTGAACAGTGATATGGTCGCACGTAACCTGAGCCTCTTTCTGCGATCCTTTTCCCTTTTGGCTTAGAGAGATTTTCATTCTGGGGTTGAACATTCCGTTCAGTGGGATGTTGGTAGGCGACCCGCTTTGCAGTATCTGTCTCCAGAGCCGTTCTAACACGAGGTCAGTGTTAGAGGAAGAAGAGGGCGTGGGTGGATGGTGAGATATCGATGCCTGGGAGCAGTTGAGGGAACTCTCTAAAGTGTCGGAGAATCTGACTCTCTTTGTGGTGCTGGCTGAAGACAGCGAGATGGTGTCACGAGAGACTTGAGCACGGCCGATTGCACCGGATGCGTCTTCTCTGAGGCGAGTTAGCTCTGACGCAAAGGCACTGCTGGCTGTAGAGCTTGCACAACTTTGGACATTCTCCGGGGCTCTCGTTTCTTTTCTCCCGTCTGTCGTGTTAGCAAAGGCAACCGTACTGCTCCCACCGCGCGGTTTCTTTAGAATCCCTACAATCTTGGGGCCTTGGGGTTCATTGTTTTCAACAGACGCTTCTCTGTTTGAAGTTTCCCCGGGTTTTCCGGGAGGTAATTTCCTCCGTCGACGGCTACGAGGTGGTGACAAACGAGTAGGGGCTGACTCATCATCGCTGGAGCTATCAGAATAGACCTTGTCACCGGACGATGTTGAGGGTTTAGCATCCTCCTTGGGCACGTTAGACGGAGCTGCGATTGAATTCTCTTCACCGTTTTTCTTCTGATTTTCCTTCTTCACGATCTTCTTGTGTCGACGGACGACTCGTTTCGTTCCCGGAGCAGTTGTGGAGCCTGCGTCTGAGGAATCGCCGGACAAACTATCCACAGGTGACCTACCGGAGCTACTGCTGTCTTCTTGCGTTGGAGACACGACTCTCAAGATTTGGGTATCGTGGGACACTTCGACTCTTGTCTTGAGCGGTCCTCTTACTACTGGGTGGAACACCATCCCTTCAGTGTCAGAGTGTCTCTTTGTATCTTGACTGGTGGTAGTGGTATGGGTGGGCTTGATGGTGGGTGACTTGGGCTTGCTGGGTTCTGGAGGCTGTTGGTCTACTTTAGTGTGGTGCACCTGCATAACACACACATAAAATAAGTTCTAGTAAATTGTATAATTATACTACTACACTACCGTAGCATGATGATATTGCTAGTTCTTTGTTGTTAACATTATAGGCTAGCTTGTGCTGGTTCTAATGCTAGAGACTGCCAGTTCCCCCAGGGTGTTACCATCTTTTGCTCCGGATCCCAATGGAGGATTCTAAACCCTTTATATCATCCGGTAATGCATGAAAAAATACCTTGAATATGGTCCATGGGACTAGACGTACCTTGTAAATAGGGCAGTGGGTGTTAAAGTTTGGGTCTGATGTACTACTTGCAGCACTAGTGGTAGCTGTTGGTCTGCTCTGGACACTGGGTGGTCGAGATGGTGCGTACACTAGTGGTAGCTGTGGTCTTGTTTTGTCTGCTTTGGACACTGGGTGGTCGAGATGGTACAGATGCAGGAGGCTTAGGCGAGTTCTGCTGACCTGTAAAGAAAAAAGTGAACAGGAGACTTTTGTTGAATTCGCGATGTGATGACAGACGTGCATTTTACAGAGGAAATCTCGACACACCTCTAATAGATCTGAGGACCTCCTCTAAAGCTGGTGGCCTCCTGACAGAATTGACCTGGTCTTGTCTCAACTCCACTTGTGCTCCCAGAACAACTCTTCCCCCTCCCTCCTCTCTCATTCCACCCAATAATGCGGTAGAATAAACGGTGGTGGCAGTAGATCTATTGGTTCCTGCTTGCCGTGGTAGGCTGGTATACATAACTGCAAAAAACATACAAAAATTGAAATTATAATGTTTTTCCTGCAAGGGTTGCATGTACTCACTTTCCACAGGAGTGTCTTGGTGGTGATGGTTGTTGGAGCCCCGTGTGGAGATCCTCAGTCGACTAATGGCCATCTTGCACCGCTCGGTCGCCTCTCTCTGGGTCTGTCTCCTCTCTTCCAGCGCTCTCCTCCTCCTCTCTTCCTCTGCCTGCTCCATCGCTCGCTTCTTCTGCTCAAGAGCCCTGACATATACCAATAGTAGATAACATTGTAGTGGTAGCCTTCTTGTTTGCCACCTTTACTAGTGGCAAACAACCTTCAAAAGTTTTCCGACTATCTATATTTCAGCTAAAGTATAAAAGCAGTTGTTTTAGTTTAGCTGCAACCCTGGCTCATATAGAAAGTAATTGAACGTTAACGAGTCTGACTCAGCCTCGTATCAGCAGAGGTGCTGTAAACAGTTTTGTATATACACACTTGAAGTGGCTAATGAGGCATTTGGCACGCACCCTCCCATTCCCACTGTATACCTACCAGTAACAGAATTACTGCCTTCACTTCACCTTCATAAATAACGCAGTTGAGTAGTTTATTGAGAGTTTGGCTGGCTTACCGCCGTCTCTGTGCAGTTTGCTTCGAGAGCAGGTGTTCTCTGTCGCGGGAGCTTCGAGTACTCTGAGCCTGCCACTGCATCAATCTCTCTCGCTCCTCCGTCTGGTACCGCTTACTGACAAGCATGCACCAGTCAAGAAAATCGCTTCACACACATACACAGCTACGGTTTACTGCAGTTAGTATCACTAGTGCCGCAGCGCATGGGAAACAGCGAAAAGTAGGTTGGATACGAGTATGCACTGCCTCCGGGAAGCATTATAGACGCCGTCCGAAAAGTTGTTGATCCGAAACGTCCTCTGCTGCAGCGCGCCGTCCGGGAAACGGATCGTCTCTGCACTGCTACGGCTGCTGCACGACCGTTTCCTGGGTGGCCGGAAAAACAATGCGAATTTTAATATTTCTCAATGCCACTCCAGCTTTTTCGCTTTATTGGAGATGAATTTTGGAACCTTTCTATTAAAAGCGCACCAACAAAAATCATGTCGGCGACCCCAACGGTTCTCCGCTTCGGGCAGCTCGTTATTGGGCCTCCAGGCTCTGGAAAATCGACCTACTGCAGAGCGATGAAGGAGTTCTTGACGGCACTCGGTAGAAAGGTTGTCATTGTCAATATGGACCCGGCGAACGAAGCCGTTCCCTACGAATGTGCCTTGGACGTGTCGGAACTGATCACCCTGCAAGACGTGATGGACAGACTGCACCTGGGACCAAACGGGAGCCTCATATACTGCATGGAGTACCTAGAGAAGAACTTGGAGTGGCTCAAAAGTCGCCTGGACGCCTTCAAAGAGCAGCATTATTTCCTGTTTGACTGTCCAGGACAAGTGGAACTGTATACTCACCACTGCTCCGTCAGGAACGTGGCCCAGCAGCTGGAGAAGTGGAAATTCAAGGTTTTCCCACTCCCATAGTAATGTGTGTAAAATTCTCACCGACTTACACAGACCAGACTTAGAGCAAGAGAAAAACTACTTTGATCAGTAGATATAGTTGAACTTTATTGCAGTACGTAAGAGTACACAAAACTCTGAGCTGCAAGTCCTAGAAAAAGGTTTCCAACTCTTTTCCTAAGAATTTCCAAGATGTGGCAAGGGGTCGCTTTTCTTTTGCAAAACTGTCATCGTTTTCTCTACTGCAGTTGGTGGCTGTTCATCTGGTGGATTCTCACCACTGTGTTGACCCTGGGAAGTTTGTCTCAATACTCTTCACCTCTCTCTCCACAATGGTTCAAATTGAACTGCCCCACATTAATCTCCTCTCTAAAGTCGACCTCATGGAACAATATGGAAAACTGGGTCAGCTTCTCAAAGTAGTAATCTGGTATCTTAATTATCCTTCGCCTTAATTAAGAACGTTTAATCTTGTATCCCTGCAATTGCCCTTACAGAACATTTAATTTAGTATCTTTGCAAGTATATTTTCTAATGTGTAGCGTTTGGTCTGGACTACTACACCGAAGTTCTCGACCTTCGATATCTGCTGGAGCTCATGTCTGATGAACCTTTCTTCCACAAGTACAGGAAGCTGAACGAAGCTCTGATTACACTGGTGGAGGACTACAGCCTTGTCTCTTTCCTACCTCTAACTGTCAAGGTATATATGCATACATAGTTATGGAGAGCAAAGTATAGAAGGCAAACTTTAAGGGAGCAAATATGTTTGGCAAAAGAGCGGTGCAAAGACACCTTTATGGTAGACTCTGAAACAATATGTTCTTTTCTCTCTCAAAATTGTGGTATGGTGACATGAAGCATCTTTTCCTGCAGGAAAAGGAAAGTATGGCGAGTGTTGTGAAGGCAGTTGACAAGGCAGGGGGATATATGTACGGACATGCCGATGGATCTTCAATGTCCAGTCTGGTCTCTGCATACTACGGTGCAGAGTACGACTACGAAAGAACTGGTTCAATGAAGGAAAAATTCTTTTCAATGGACACATCTCCAAAAAATTAAATCAGAAGACTATTCTGTAGGTACATAAGATTATGCGGAAAAGGTAGAGGGAGTAGGAAAAAGAAGTGGGAAAAAAATCGCCCGATAAGGGGCTCGAACCCTTGACCCTCAGATTAAAAGTCTGATGCTCTACCTACTGAGCTAACCGGGCGCTCGCTGAGTGACGGCGGAATTTACGTTTTTATTTGGAAACTACGTATCTATGAATAAGCTCTGCTTGCGCGTGCTGCTGCACGTTAGCGCATGTGCTACGTACACCACCGTTCGTTGTATAGGAGAAGAGGCGAGACGGATAAAACTGGAGCCCGCCAGAGGAGCAGGAAGCGCGCCGATCTCTACATCTATGCTCGGCTGCAGTCTTACCTGAGGGAGGACATAGTGCTGCGGAGAAATAGAGTTATGCAGCCGCCCCCTCGGGATGAAACGTGTCGACTTACAGGTCACCTTCGCGCGTTCGGCGGAGTGAGCGCTGACGTCTCTCGCGAGCCCGTTTTCGTGGACGAGAGACTGGTGCGGAGGAAGCAGAAGATAAAGCAAGCCAGTGACGCTCCGGAGAAGAAGTGGTGTGACCTGAAAATGGAGATATCGGGGCGATGCTCCGGAATCGACCTGACAAAAGTGAGTTGTTGGTGCGCAATAAATAGAGTCTCACCACCCGAAACGTGGGTGAAAAATTTCATTTTTCCGTAGGTTCAAGGGGAGCTCAGACAATTACACCGTGCAACCCGAGAAATTGGTAATGCTAGTCACTTCTATTATGCATGCTTTGGGATTTTCCTATTACTTCTCTGCCTCTTCCCCTGTTTCCCTCTTTCAGTTGGAGATGACGTTGCAACTGCGGTGGTCGATTCGGCGGCCGTTTTTCTCTACACCCTCTTTGCCGTGGACCAGCGATGGAGTCGAGAGCACGCAGAGAAAATCCGCAAGACCCTCGGACCGTTTCCCGCGTCCGCAGCCAACCGAGCTTGCGAATCAGTGAAGAGAATCGTCAAACTCTTGCCCGAAAATATCGGCGAGGAAAGCAAAAATAGTACGGACAAAGAATCACACGTACTACAAGACAAGGAAATGAAGAGAGAATTTGGAAGCAATATTGTGTTTGCTTCTCCTAAAAACATACGCGAAGAAGTTGCAGCGTTTTCGAGCGGGGAAAATGGCGGACAAGAAATCGGGCGCGATTCGCTGTCTGAGGACGAAGAAGCTGAAAGCAACGCTTTTTCTCGGGCACTACTGATGGGTATGGCGCAAACGAGTAAAACCGACAGTGGTGGAGAAAGGGTTAAATCTAAAACGAGATCGAGCGGAAAGCCAGCTGGTGTTGTTGCCATGGGAACCGGTGACCCCGCCCCCTACACCAGCGAGTGGCTGGCGGGGAAATTGGAGGTGGTGTGTGCTGGAGGTGCCATGGCCTGGAATGACCTTTACATGGCGGTGTTTGATGTTCTCAGTTCTGCTCAGGACAACTCCGCTATACAGGGAGAGGTTCGTAACCTATACATCTACATACTGTATGAATGCATCAGAATTGTATGTACATTCGAAGTGTACTTTAGACTGTGGACTCCTCTAATCAGGGCACCAATGGTGTCTTTCATTGAAGAACTGTTCTTGGGAGAAAAGGTGTCCTTTTAGAGAAGTGTCCTCGTTTCAGGTTCCACTGTTTTTCGTGTGATGTGCATTGTATATGTGACCTAGAGACAATACTTAGCATCTTCTGGAAGTAACGTTACAGAAGTTCTCTTCCTAGACAAATTCCCCCTTCCCCCATCCCCTCTCCATTTTTACCCAGCTGGTAGAATTACTGGGATTCTCTCAACTGGACTTCATCGAGGGCCTACTGATGCACAGACAGCAGCTGGTCTCCTCTGCTCTCGACGACTCCTCCCTCCTCCTCTCTCGCTGTGAGTTCCTCTATTGCTTTTGGCATTTCCTAGTCCACTACGAAACAGGCCTCGCCCACATGGAAGCAATTACACAATCACGAAATCTGTTTTTGGTTGGATGCGCGTGTAATTTGTGCCCCTAACAAATTTCTTCTTCTGTTTTGTAGCCGGGAAGAGTAACCATCACGTCAGAGGTCAAAGGGCACCGGTGCAGTCGTCGCACTATAGACCTGCAGTTTCGAGTCAGGTCGTCATACAGGTCTGTACAGTCATATGACAATCACATGATGATCACATGACCAGTCTGTGATGTCATCATTTACTTTTCACTGTGTGAGAAGGCGAGTGATAGATGACATCACAGAATGGTCACGTGATGATCACATGTCCATTCTGTGATGTCATCGCTCACAGTCGGGTGAGGAGAAAGCTCTGAGGAAGCAGCTGAGGAAGGAGGAGAAGAGACAGGCAAAGAGTATTCGGAAGGATGGAGGGGGAGTGGCGGAGGATCACGTGGCAGTTCTCAGGGCTCAGGGGTTTGACCCCGACGAACTGAGAAAACATAGGTGACAGTCTTTCTTTCTCTCTCCCAAATTCTGTATGTTGTCATGCTATATATATAGAGTAGACTTCTTTTTTTTAAATTTCGTTTGTTTTTTTGTGCATGTGTGAATTAAACTATGAAAACCTTGTGGTTGGGTAGTTCACCATATAAGCCGACGCCTCTACTCTGTGTATATACATACCTGGTTTAGTTTCTGCCCTCCTTCCCTCCCTCCCATCTCCCTCTTGTAGTACATCGACATCCACGTGTACAATAAAATGGTATCACGTGAACAACGAATGTTAGAATCACTGAAGTAACGTCGTTTCCCCAGAGAGCGAGCTCTGGAAGAGGCCAGTTTCCGACCTCTGCTGACCCCACACGTCTCTACTCTCTGTATATATACCTTTCTCCCCTCCTACGAATGTTAGAATCAGACGTACACTAAAGTACTGTCATTTCCCCAGAGAGCGAGCTCTGGAAGAGGCCAGTTTCCGACCTCTGCTGACCCCACACGTCTCTACTCTCTGTATATATACCTTTCTCCCCTCCTACGAATGTTAGAATCAGACGTACACTAAAGTACTGTCATTTCCCCAGAGAGCGAGCTCTGGAAGAGGCCAGTTTCCGACCTCTGCTGACCCCACACGTCTCTACTCTCTGTATATATACCTTTCTCCCCTCCTACGAATGTTAGAATCAGACGTACACTAAAGTACTGTCATTTCCCCAGAGAGCGAGCTCTGGAAGAGGCCAGTTTCCGACCTCTGTTGACCCCACACCACTCCACAGCTGCCGATCCCAGCCAGCTCTATCCCAACGTCTATGACTCTCTGGCAAAGGCCAAACTCACTGCTGCATACGTCGCTGGAGCTAAGGTACACACAGTAGCCCTGAAGCACATATTAAAAAAGGAAAGCGTAGCATTCAATATTCTTCGAATCTCATTATCATAATTATGTGTCCTATTCGTGCAAATAAGTTTGTGTCCGAATTCTTATATACCATGGTGTTTTTCTTCCTCTCTTTTCCTCCCTCTCTCCCTCCCTCCCTCTCTCTCTCCCTCCCTCTCTCTCTCTGGAACAGGTTGGAATCCCGGAGAATGCAGTGAGGAAGTCTGACCGTATGATGGAGGAGTTTCACATTCCACACTCGAGTGCCCCGCCCCCTCCAGTGGGGGAAGAGAAGGTCCGCATTGCCGAGATTGATGATGACCTCATCCAAATTGCCTTCCAAGGTACTGTAACCCCTTTCTACCTGTATATACCCTACATACATTATAGTGGGGGAAATGATGAGAGACAAGAAGTTGTTGAATTTGTTGTCCTGGAGTTGAAGGAACGAAAGGCAATCAGTGACGAGAGCTATCCATACCTACTTTCACACTTTAGTGCAGTAATACTCATGTTTGCTCCATTTCTTGCTATTATCATTAACCCCTTTTTTCGCAGGAGTGAAGACTCTAAATAGAATCCAGTCGGTTGTGTTTGACGTTGCGTTCTACACCAGTGAAAACCTGCTCATCTCGGCCCCAACTGGTGCGGGTAAGACCAACATCGCCATGCTCACCGTTCTCAGGGAGATCAAGAACAACATGGAGGGCCGCGTCATCAGGAGAGACAAATTCAAGGTTCACTGTCGGCTTAATTTTGCATTCAAAATTTCCGTTAGAAATCAGTGACACTTTTTCACTTCCGTGTATGTCTCAACAACTTGGTAGCGAGGTAGAAAGGCAAGGCAAACAAGTCAACTACACCCAGGACAGCTCTTTCTGAAAAGAAGAAGAGTTGCCCTGGGTGGGATGTTAGTGTACCCTAGAGATGTGCTTTTTGAAGGGAGAGAGTTTGTACTTTTGCCACCGTACAATTTGAAAGTTGCAGAAAAAAGGTACATAGGTTGATTCCCACCTACCCAGAAAATATTTTGCCTAAGGCTTTTGAAATTTCCTATTTGTCCACTATATACAGTACAGTATGTACATGTGTGCGAGAGTCCTCTTGTTCAACTTTTTCTCACCTCCTTTCTTCTCCATTTTTCTCTCTCTCTCTCTCTCCAGATAATCTACGTGGCTCCAATGAAAGCCCTGGCGGCAGAGATGGTGCGGAATTTCAGCGGGAGACTGGCTCCTCTCGGCATCACAGTCAGAGAACTGACTGGAGACATGCAACTCACCAAGAATGAGATCAAGAACACCCAGGTCCGCTCATAAGGGGTTAAATCACTGCTTTTACCCAGGTCCGCTCGTAAGGGGTTAAATCACTGCTTTTACCCAGGTCTGCTCATAAGGGGTTAAATCGCTGCTTTTACCCAGGTCTGCTCATAAGGGGTTAAATCGCTGCTTTTACCCAAGTCCGCTCATAAGGGGTTAAATCACTGCTTTTACCCAGGTCCGCTCATGGGTTTAAATCACTGCTTTTACTTTGCCTCTATGAGACTTTAAAACACTATTGCTCCTCCGCCCGCAGATGATAGTGACGACACCTGAAAAGTGGGACGTGGTGACGAGAAAAGCGACGGGCGATGTCCAGCTGGCGCAGATAGTGAGGCTGCTCATCATCGACGAGATTCATCTTCTTCACGAAGACAGAGGGGCCGTTATCGAGAGTCTCGTGGCCAGGACCCTCAGACAGGTGGGCTGCAATTAGAGATCATTTCTTAGCTCTTGGAAGTACAGTAGAATGGTCAAGAGAGAGAGAATGAACCAAAGTTGTACAGCAATTAGAGATCATTTCTTAGCTCTTGGAAGTACAGTAGAATGGACAAGAGAGAGAGAGATAACCACAGGTGTGCGCATTAGAGATCATTTCTTAGCTCTTGGAAGTACAGTAGAATGGACAAGAGAGAGAGAGAGAATGAACCAACAGGTGTGCAGCAATTAGAGATCATTTCTTAGCTCTTGGAAGTACAGTAGAATGGTCAGAGAGAAAGAGAATGAACCAACAGGTGTGCAGCAATTAGAGATCATTTCTGAGGGTCAAAGTACACAGGTCAGGGGGGAAACGGAAAAAGCCAACTTCAATAGGAAATCAAAGTCAGGCGTCGTAACTGGAAGTTCAGTGCACTACGCACTGAGCTACATATGTACAACTCACAGACAACAGCTGGTCTCCTTTCCCTCTATGGGGGTGTGTGAAGACATCACATAGATTGCTTGAATCTTCATTGGCGAGCTAATTATGACATCACCGTTATTTCTCCCCGGCCCCAGGTTGAATCCAGTCAGACTCTAATCAGGATCGTTGGTCTCTCGGCAACGTTGCCAAATTACGTCGATGTGGCGCAATTCCTCCGCGTCAACCTCTATCAGGGCCTCTTCTTCTTCGACAGTCGTTTCCGACCGGTCCCACTCTCGCAGACTTTCGTCGGCGTCAAGGCGACCAATCGGAATCAGCAGATGAGGGACATGGAGGAGGTGTGCTACGATAAGGTGTTTAGCAACGTGAGGAGAGGGTATCAGGTGAGGTCATGTGACTATCATGTTGTTGTAGCTGGACCTAAAAGTAGCTAAAGTATTACGAGACATTGCTAAATGGTATGTATGTATGTTATGTAATGGTTGTTGGGGTATAAAACTGGGTCCAGTAAAAAAATTTCTGCTGTGCCATTCCAAAAAAAAATGTAGTCACAGTTGGAGCCTTTCCCATAGAAATTTTCAAGATTCACGTTTTCTCACAAAATGAATGCAGGTGATGGTTTTTGTACATGCCCGCAACGCTACGGTCCGCACGGCAACAGCACTGCGGGATCTGGCCTCCTCCAACGGCGAACTCGCCCACTTTCAACACGAGCAGACCCCCAGATACGGTGCCGTTGAGAAACAGGTGATGTCATTATGATGTAATACCACGTGTCTCTCTAAAAGTAAGGATTTCTTGCAAGCTGTAGTGTAGCAGGAACTTTGTCAAGAGAAATTAATCTAATTGAAGTAAAACTGCTGATTTGTTTACCGATCATGTCATTATGATGTAATACTAAGAGAGTTCATTCCTCCTGGTGATGTCATTATGACGTAATCCTCCAGGTAATGCGGTCGAGGAACAAGCAGCTGCGAGATCTCTTTGGAGACGGGTTCAGCACCCACCACGCGGGGATGCTACGATCGGACAGAAATCTCGTGGAGCGCATGTTTGCAGAGGGATTCGTGAAGGTCTTGGTGTGCACGGCGACGCTGGCTTGGGGAGTCAACCTACCAGCTCATGCCGTCATCATCAAGGTGAATTGGATCACTACAAATTTTTTTGAAGTTCGTTTGTTGCAATTGTAGGATGACTATCATTTTAGGGAGTTTGGCCCAAAAGGCAGCTGTCACGTGTACATAACTTCTGTTTTGTGTTTTTGCTTATCTCTCCCCTTCTCTCTCTCCTCTATCTCCCCTTCTCTCTCTCCTCTCTCTCCCCTTCTCTCTCTCCTCTCTCTCCCCTTCTCCCTCTCCTCTCTCCCTTCTCTCTCTCTCCTCTCTCTGGACACTAATTCAGGGTACGCAAGTCTACAATGCTCAAAAGGGAGCATTCATAGATCTCGGAATACTCGACGTTCTCCAGATATTCGCCGAGCCGGCCGGCCGCAGTACGACACGTACGGAGAAGGAACCATTATCACCACGCACGACAAGCTGTCTCACTACGTGTCGCTCATGACCAGACAACATCCCATCGAGAGCAGATTGAAGGAAGGACTGAGGGACAATTTGAACGCCGAGGTTTGTTTTTCTCTAGGTGCATAGAGACAGAGACAGGGGGGGGTCGGTTAAGAAAGCTAGACCGAGTCCAATGAGGAGTCAATTGAAGAAAAGTCTTAGGGATAACCTACAGTCTTTTCAGGCTAATTATAATATGATGCCTAGAGTTTTTATAATGAAAGCACTGGCAAAGTAGGCATTAAGTGCTGTGTGTTGTATGTTTGAAAAATTGCCAACTCGTGTATATAGTAGCTCTTTCAAAAACTCAGAAACCTCTCCCTCTCTCCAGATTGCCCTGGGGACGGTGACGAGTGTCGAGGAGGCAGTGCAGTGGCTTGGCTACACCTTCCTCAACGTCAGAATGAGACTCAACCCACTGGTCTACGGCATCCCAAACTCCTACAGAGAGGTATCACATGACTGTCACGTGACTTTCACGTGACCCAATTACATCGTACATGTACTTTCAGGAAAGGGGCAAGCAAAGTTAACTTCCACATTGCAGTATCAATAGTGATCATGTGACCTGATCACATGACGTGAATCATCGCATGAATTGTCACGTGACTGTCACATGATCCTCCCACAGACGGACCCTACACTGGAGCAGTACATGCGTGGGTTGATAGAGGCCAGTGCGAGATCACTGACGCAGGCTCGAATGATCAGATTCATTGAGCACACGGGCACCCTTCACTCTACTGATCTCGGACGTACTGCCAGTCACTACTACATCAATGCCACCAGTATTGAGGTACATATATATTATATACATTCTATAATATAATATATTCTTTAACCGCCATGTATGTGTACATACATATGTACTGTGGTGATGAACGAAATATCCACTGTTCATGTGTGTTCCCCATTCAGACGTTCAATGAGCTGTTGAAGCCATACATGAACGAGGCGGAGATGATGGCTATGGTGGCCAAGTCAAAGGAGTTTGAGCAAGTCAAAGTCAGTATACTATGGCTGGGCGTCAGTATACTATGGCCGGGTGCCAGTAAACTATGGCTGGGCGTCGGTATACTATGTCTGAGGAGTCAGTAATTCATTTGTAATCCTGCTCAGTAATGTTGTAAGTTTACCTTCAATGTCAGTTTTAGTCTCTGTATACCACTCAGTATTTCCTGTGCACTACTGTATACTCCAGCTCCATTCAGTAAACCACTCAGTAATCTCTAGTAGTCTGCAGTAATCTCTAGTATACCTGCTGTAGGTGAGGGATGATGAACAGTCAGAGTTGGAGCAGCATCGAGACGAGACCGTGTGTCTACAGATCCAGAGCGTGAGTGGAGAATTCTACGGAAAGTCAACATCTGCTCTGCAAGTTACGATCTCCAGAGAGCTGTGGACACGCTTCTCGACTCCGTCAGACTTGGCTTACGTGGCCCAGGTAAGTAAGTAGGAGGGAGAGGGGACATTTCTGTGTTGTTTTGTTGCTGGTGTCTTGTAAGCTAAAAAGGAGGTAGAGAGAAAGAAAGAATGTATCCACTTTTCCGTGTTCTACTATTCTGCTTATTCCACTTATCGCATTTGCTCCGGTTCTGTTTCTCCATGAATCCACATATCGTGTGTTTTGCCGTTCAGCATTTCCCTATGAAAGAAGCGCTCATCAACATATGCAACTTTTACAATCTCCTTTGTTCAATGTATCATTTGCACGACCGTTTTCTCTCCCCCCCCTCTTTTTCCCCAGAATGCAGGCAGGATTATTCGCGGACTGTTTGAAATCGTCCTCCGTCTTGGGTGGCCGGTGATGTCCTCTCGTCTCCTCACACTCTGCGCTGCGTCGACCGCCAACTCTGGTCCTTCCAGCACCCTCTCAGACAGTTCGAGAAGCAGCTGTCGCACGACGTCCTGAACAAGATTGAGTCGAGGAAGATGGAGCTTCACCGAC